CCCCCCCCCCCAATCACAAAAATACCCACCCACCCATCTACCCACCCATCTACCTGCACAGCATACCCATCAAAGACACCAATCAGTAGTATCAGTAGCCTCACCCAGGGCCAGGAAAGTACCTAAGTAGGTCTACTAAGTGGAGTAGTACTGTAACCGTCCCCTAGCCGTACCCATACCATACCATACCATTCCATTTCCCCTCCCAAACTCCGGTTACGAATCCCGAGCTCAACCAGATCCAGATCCACCCTTCCCTTCTCAATGTCACGCATACTAGCCCTGGAAAAACTACCTAGGTAGGGAAAGAAAAGTAAGAAAAAAGGGAAAACAAAAAAATCAAAATCAACCGGTTTTCTGCCATATGATATTCACAGAAAGAGTTGCTGTACGGAATTCCGTACGTACAGGAGTCCATGTAGTTAAGTTACAGTATACGACCGACCACCAAATCAAATGCAACCCAAAGGATCCACTGGGTGCCACTATTCCCCAAGAACACGTAACAACACATTTGCAAGGACAAAACATTGCAGTCACATCAAAATCACTAAAAGTGGTATATCATAAATCTCATTTCAAAGACATGAAAGGAAAATAGTCGTAAAATCTGATTGGATTCCACCCTTAGTATACATACGAGCAAGCCACCTCACCTCACCTCCCCTCCAAGCTCAGGCTCAGACTCAAGGCAACCAACCAACCAGCCATTTGATAACAAACCCCTCCCCCATTCATGACCATCCCATTCATCCAAGAAAAAAAGAGATGCAGACCAAGGAGAGAAGGAAAAGAAAATCCCATTCGCATGTCCCCACAAATCCCACGCTATGCAATTCCCATCCCTGTTCATCGGGTTCGAAAAAAGATTCTTCAGATCCCGCGGAAAGTCCCAGTAATAGCCTTCCAATGTCATTTCATCTCGCAAAAAGATTCATCGAGAACGCCATGATTGCAGAAATAAGGAAAAAAAGACGAATATGAAAATGATAGAAACAATTTCCATAGGGGTATTCGTTGAAAAAAGAAGAAATGAGAAACATGAAACCGAGAGTATTCCACCCGCCATCCCCAGAATGGATCAAATAGCATTAGAAAAAGAGGTCAAGAGTATTAGGAAAAAAAGAGAATGGTGTCGTGAAATAAACAGCGCAAGAGACCAGTCCAGCAGCTAGCTACAACCACCCTTTTCCCGTTCCCCCCGCAGCACCGGCTGTGACAAAATCAACCTTGCATCCATTCGATGGAGATGTGAGAAATTCCAGCACGATTTCTTCGTCTTCTTTCAACTAAAAACGAGGATCCACCCAAAGAACCCAAATGACCCTGAAAACAATGTCGAATAGAAATTAGCGAGCGTGTGTGTGTGTGTGTGTGTTTTGCATGAGCGCCGTTGGCCATGCTGATGATGTTGTTCCCGATCAATGCAAAATGTGTAGCGTGAGCCACTTTTCCCTTCCCTGTGTATAATGTTGCGATGCTGAAAAATGCCCCTGCCCAAATGGCCCTGTTGCTTGGTTGCGCCTGTGAAAAAGAAAAACTTAAAAGAAATAGCAACGACCCCAAACGCTCGCTTGCAAAATCAATGATGAAAAGAAATGGTATGTGTACAAGTTAAACAGTCGCTAAAAACACGATAGCCTTTAGTACATTTCAATCGAACTGGTTCGATAAAGGTATGGTATGGAGTCACAGAGGACCGCCGTCGACCGGTGTCGGTCTGGGCGACATGGGAGTGCGGTTAAAGACGGTTTGGCGGATAGATTTGAAAACGCCCTCTCTTCCGGCGATGTCAGAGTGGTCAACGTAGATACTGGTGATGGGCTCAATCTTGATACGACAGAAGAGTGTAGAAAATAAGAATTGGTCTCCATTGCCATCCAACAAGGGAAGGGTTCGATATCCCTGTTTGAGACTGCTGAGCTTTGCAGTGTAGGTGGCCAATGGCACAGCCTTGTCATTGTAGTTTTGGCCATCGGAGGAGCATCTGACAGTAAAGCGGACGAACACGAGGTCTTCATATTTCGTTGTAAGCTCAAATCTGAACTCATCGTCAAACACAGGGTTGAATCCGTTTTCTTTTACAATCTGCGTGCGACGTCGATGAGGAGTACCCAATCCAGAGGCGCCATCTTTCTTTCCAGCGGATGCATCCAAGCCACCTGCTCCAACAACACCCTTGTTGTCTTTGGTCTTGTCGTCTGCGTGATAGACTTCGACCTCGACATATGGATCAACACTGCGGTTAGGCGCAAGTCCCTTGGGGCGCATCAATTGTTGGGCAGAAATGACAGCAATGGAAAAATTTACGTTCTTGCGTTCTCGTTTGATGTGACCAGCACCTGCTTCTTCTGGAACGGTGGGGATCATTTTAATCTCGCGGAGGTCGCTGGGTTTGAGAACGTAACCGGATTGATCAGTGCCGCCGGCAAACATGGCGTCGTTCATCTGCATGCCGAGATCGTAGGTTTGCCAATTGAGGGCGACCATATGAACCCCGCGTCGCCAATATTTGAGAGGGTCAAAATTGGTGGAGGCGACTCGCCAGCCATTAGGGTAAACCCGCATCATGTATCGCATGTTATGCCGAGTGATGGCTCGTTTCTCTTCCGCGGTCCGACTGTTCTTGTCAAATGTACTCTCCATAAAAGAAAAGATGTGGTTGAATTCCTTGCTCTCCGGAGAATCGAACCCGCGAAATTTCAGGCCAGCGCTGTACACACCGAGGACACCAAGCTCCTTTACAATATTGCTTGTTTTGTTCTTTCGGTTGCTTTCTTTCGCTCGGGCAATGTCCTCGGCCAAACTTTCGCTGTCACTGGTGCTGCTGCCCAGGCTATCCTGGCCCTCACTCCCAGAGTATTTGACTTGGCTGCTTCGGTACAAACGCTGCATAGACTTGGGTGGGTATGGACTTGGGTAAGGGCTGGAAGGCAGTAGACCGGAGGAAATAGACGAATTATCAAGTTGCTGGGGCCTAATGTATGGGGAGCTTAAACTGCTGCCGCGGCTCCTAGTGACATTCTGTTCCAGTAAAGCAGGTTCCTCGGCCACACGTGGCTTTTTGACTTTTATGAGAATCCGGTTCAGCAACTGCGATGGCGAAGGAAGTTCTTCTGATTGCGGGTCCAACGATTCGGTGACCAGCTTTGCCCCACAGGTTTCCTTGATGATTTTCGCCATTAGTGATTGCTGTTGCGGGTTGCAGTGCACCTCCAATGAGATCCAAAGTGGAAACGCAGATTTGACAAAAGCATACTTGCTGATAGTGGACATCACATCGCGAAAGGAGACTTGAGTAGTTAGTGTTCGGCCGTGCATGACAACAGGCTGACCGTCGCCGCCATTCCAACAATCCACTTCCACACATCTGCAGCCTCTGTTTAGCGCTGAGATGTACGCCTCGACGCTGGACTGCCCGGCGACTTGACGGCCTAAGAGGTAGGTGTTGTGAGAGCTGGAAATGAAATATTCATTCAGCGGTCTGTTGAGATCATAACTTGACGGTGGGTTCTCCAATGGCACATTGAAAGTGGAAATAAGGTAGCTGCTCAACGCGGCCTCATTCATACGTGGAGCCTCACGTTCGAGAGTGCTAGGTTGTGGTTGATCTTTAGGTCTTGAACGACGACAGAATTTGTTGAAGATGTTTTCCCAGTGTACGCGATCACTGCCCACGTCCTCTTGCTGAGTTATTCTCAGAAAGTTGAAGAATTCGTGCATTGTGAGACCTTTGTCAGAATCGACCGCTAGCTTATAGTAGAGAACCTTGATGTCTTCGCGTCTCTTCATTAGCTTGACGAAGCCTTGGAACTCAACGTAGTTCAATTTGCCAGATCTCGAGATATCGGCTTGGTCGAATCTACTGCGAAGGTAAGTTGAAGATCCATGAATATGAAGAGATAGGCAAAGTCGCTCCACTCCGACAATGTCAATCAATTCATCATCTTCCGCGTGGGGTTTGTTCTGAAAAACCTTGTTCATCTCAGTCCGCCAATAAGATCTTACTGCCTTGTCGTGAAAGGAGGACAATGATGCCATCAGATCTTGACGGTGTTTCGAAATTGCGTCGAGAGTCGTTGTCCACAAGTCAAACGTTTGCTCATCGGCTGCAATGAGATGCATGACTTTTTGTGAGCGACCCTTGGATCTAGCTGGAACGGCATAGATGATGGAAAAGAATTTGGACTCGTCCTGGGCCGAAACTCCAAACTCTTCTCGGTAGTTTCGGGCGTCAGATCCTACTCGAATGTCCTTGATATCATCAATGTAGAATGACTTTGAAGGCCGACTTTTGTCCCAAGACACTTTAGCAGCCTCATTTTCTAGGACGAAGGTCAATAATTTCTTCTTTTTCTTTGTGATTTTGGTCATAGAGGTTCCCCGGAGAAGTACGCTCGGGATCACTGGGCCAGGACCAGGGCTAGGGACCACTGTCGTGGAGCCAACTGAGGCAGTAGTACTCGTGGGAAAGTCGGCGTCGGTAGCAGGTGGGCTGACAGCCTCCTCACGGCAGTCAATCGCATCGGAGTCGGAGTCAGAGAAGAATGGCCCGCGGCCTTCTGGGGCGGTATTGGTGCTATCACTTCTTCTTCTAATGATGGTAGGTCCTGAGCTATGCTCTCGGCTCATTGCTGTGTTGGACTGGCGTCGGCGATTGGTGAATTTGTTAGTAGCTCTATTTGACAGCCTTCTGATGAGACCCGGGTTTTTGCCTTGATTGAGGGCTTCACTCATTGCACTCTGACTTGACTTGCGTGACACAATTGACTCTGGCAATTCAAAGGGCGGGAGGGTAGATTCGGACTCGCGGCCACGAATTCCATCGGGAGACCCCTGAATGGAGGAGTTGTTGGTGGTGAGCTGTGTGCTTTCGGGGGACATGACTGGAGAGGCTTGAAGGGAGCTTGAGGTGGTGACTGAGGAAGCGCTTATGGCAGAAGCTGGAATCGAGGGTGTGGAGGTAATTGGGGGGAGAAAGTTGGTTTGAACGTTGCTTGGTTTCGCGTGCCGGAAGGAGGAAGATCTGGAAGAGGTTGCGTTTAGGGCCTTCGGAGTGGTTGCATCCATAGTAGGTGTTGCCCGGAAGGAAGGGCTCGAGGAGTTTGAGGACATTGTGTGTTTTTGAGAGAGTTATGTGTATGTGAATGAATGCTGAGATGCAGTCAAGGTCCAATCGCAAAGCCAACGCCCGAGGCCAGAGGAAATGGCGCAGAGTGCTTTATGAAAAGAGCCAGGGGGCTGTAATTGAACGCATGTCGGTCTTCCTCGAGTCTCTGCTGCAACGAGATGAGAGCGAGTGGGAGTGGGCTATGAACGATTTTCTGCGGTGGAGCGGACGGGCAAAGGCGGAAACAGGTACCCTTCGCTTCGTGGGGTTGGGTCGGTCGTCGGTCGTCGCTCTTGCGATGTTGACGCCTTGTCAGGTGGTGTTGAGAAAGATCCTTTTCGGTTGTTGGTGCATTCAGCTCTTCCTTGTATACGCAGTGCAGTCCCTTTCTTGCAGATATGCGTGGTGTCTGCTGCACTCGTCTGAAAGGAGATGACTCGACGGCGAGCTGCAGGCGCGGGAGGAGGCAGCGGATATGTAGGATTGCGGTGGTTCCAGGACAAGTACCGTGTGAGGACTTTTCTCGCTTTTTCGACTGCGGTGCGGTGCGGTGCGGTGCGGTGCTCGACTGTGCGTGCGTGGAATAGGATTATCCAGCCCAGCCCAGGGGGTGGTGGGAATGCGAGAAAATTGGGATATGACGCAGATGCAGTGCAGACGCGGACGGGCGCACTAAGTAGGTATGGGATGGTGACAACGACAACGCGCACGCAGGACTCGTCGAGAATAGTACGCTGCACGTGGGTGGGAGAGGGTCGCCTGTGGTCGCGGACGAGGCTGACGCCGTCAATGGATGTGGTTGAGGGACAGAAATGAAGTTGGTCGGGATGTGTGTGGTGGTGTTGGTGTTGGGAGAGCGGTGGTGGAGGAAGCAATTTTATTAGTACTTTCGTCAGAGGAGGACTGTCAACCAGCCGGCAGAATTGGGCTGAGAAATGTCGATGGGTGTAAGGCCGCAGGGTGCGGGTGCTGGTCATGCCCGGGCCTCCACCGCGACTGGCAGCGATTGGCAGCGACTGGGCAAGGTAAGGATCTGGTGCTGGTGCTGGTTCTGTGGACACGGAAAATTGGGGATGTGGATGTGGATGCAGATGTGGACAGCTGAAGGGAAATAGAAATAGGCGTATGGAGTAGGTTTATGGAGTCACCAGGAGTCGGTCCCCCAAAAAGTGATCTCCCTTAGGCCTTGAGCCCTGAGCCCTGAGCCTTGAGCCTTGAGCCTTGAGCCTTGAGCCTTGAGCCTTGAGCCTTGAGCCTTGAGCCTTGAGCCTTGAGCCTTGAACACACAAGCGACAGGGGGTTCTCGGTTAACCCCTACGGGTAGGCCGTGGAGTTGGGTTGGAGGGTGCTCGGCCGTTTGGTAGACGCTGATGCTCCGCACGAATCAATTTTAGCTCTGTTTTGGCGTCAATTGGCTTTGAATGGAGCGGGCAGCCAGGGGTCGTGGTGCCCAGGAAGAGCCCTGAACTTGGAGGGCGAGGGCGGAAGCGAGGGAGCGGAGAGTGGAGCGGAGAGGAGAAGGGGGCAATCAGGTGAATGGGGGGATTGAATGATGAGCGTCAGGCCAGGACGAAGCAGAAACCAAAGTGGACACCGTCACCTCTGTCTTTTTTAGAAATCTCAGGTCCTTCTTTCGCCTTTTCTATCAAGCCTTGGAGGCTGCTCGTATCACCCGTTATACCAGTCCAAGGAGATATGCCAACGATGTGACTTTACTGTACGTACTGACCACACCAGCTGCGGTAATGGCTCGTACGTACAGGCAAACAAGAGTGCAGTAGCAGTAGCAGTGGCAGCGGCAGTAGCAGAAGGCAGTACAATAGGGGCGGAGAGACGAGGGAATGACTTTTGGGCTGAGGGTATGGCTTGGCTAGGTGGTCTGGGACAAGTTGGGGGTGGGCCGGGGGTTTTTTTTGGTTCTGATTCTGGTTCTGGTACTGGTTTTGGTTTTGCGGGTGGTTCTTTGCGTTGCAGAGCGACCGTTGCAGGGCAAGGGCAGATGGAGATGGTCAACAAACTAGTTTGCTATGCTATCGGTTGGCAGTTGGCAGGCTGGCGAAGTAACCTTGTGAACTGCCGAGCGTTTCTGGTCCAGGGCAAGCTGAGGATGACTGGCGATTGGGGATGGGATGAGTGGGCACGAACGAGTACTAGTCACCCAAGCTGCGGCACCGACTGTGTGGGCTGTGTGGGCAGTTTATTCGTAGTGGGAGAAGGAAAATGAAAAGGCGTGGGAAGTAATATGTATGTATGTAAGTAGGTGTAATGTATATCTTTATTTTGGAAGAAGAACCGAGGGGCTATGGCAACTTAATATCCCCCCAGCCCACAAAGCCTTCCCCTTCTCTTCATCGGATGCAGATGCAGTATGACGGGAGTTGGCTTCAGACTTCTTGACTGAACCCTCGACTCCATGCCATTCAAAAAAGAACTCCCTCCATCCCCCTCTGCTCTAAACTCTGGTACAGATGCTCCGTTACTCCAACTCAGCCTTATTTTGGCCACACCCGGCAGGGGATGCGATGCGATGCGATGCCGAGCTTCCACCTCCTCCCCTCCCCTCCCCCTCTTACCATCCAAGGAGACTGGTCACTCAACTTTTGCGGGCAGTTGTGAACCACTCATCCAACTCTCTGTCTTACTGTACACCGCTCGGCGAGGCTCTTGCTTGCATGTTCACGAGACCTTCTGAGGACGACGAAGACGGCGCGCCAGGAACCGCCCATTTGCTGGAGCCTCCTGGCTCACCGCTGCCTTGATCAGCAGGTTGCAAAATCTCATCGCACAGCCCTCAATGACTCCAAAAGAGGCCTGTCTTTTTTTTTTCACTTTTCGTTGTCGCCCAGGTAGACATTGAGGCCTGATTTGAAGCGCTCATCGGCTCTCGGCCGTTGTAGTTGGTGCGAGTGGTTAGGGTAGGGTAGGGTTGGAATCCACCAGGTTGTCAATGGAAGTCCATGTCCCTCTTTTTTCCTTCCTCCTCGAAGAATTCTCGCAATAACATCCTGAAAGCGCGTCATAATGCCCGGGATATGATTGTTTCAACCAGGATGTATTGAGGGTTATGCAAAAACAGGGCCCATTATTATTGTTTTGCTCTCCCCCACCCTGCCTCTGCCCTACCTTTTCCTTCTTATCTCCTTGCATGCAATTGTGTACTGCGAAAGGCAAGCGGCACGACTTGTTAGAAAGTTGGCTGAGTCTGATTCTGATTCTGATTCTGCTTGTGCTTGTTAATACGCCCCTTTTCCACGTACTTGTAAGTGAACACTCGTATGATTACAATCTCACCGACAGAAACTCACTGTCAGACTACTGTAATGATTTCAGATACACTTAAAGGGTCTTGGGTCGTTTCGTGTACTCCGTAAACATCAACACATCATGGATCCCCCCACTAAAGAGAAGTGTAGGGCTAAGACATCGAGGTCAGAGGGAAGGTGACTAAAGAACTGCTGTCAACTGTCACCCACCAAACGGCGTTCCTCTTTCAGGAACATAGGCAGGTAGGGGTTGCCCCATCTTGTGTCGCTCTGCCATGTGCTCCCCCTGCCAAGTTCCAACTTTTTTTTTCCGCCAGCCCTTCCAAAAGAGTGACTCCCTTGTGCCATCCCTGTTGGCATCGTGTGGAAATGGTGCATCGTGCGATCGCGTCGTCACTCAAGTCATCGTCCATCGTCAGTCAAGTTTCATGGAAGCTGAGCCACAACCAATTGCTGTGATAGCCTCATCACCGCTTCCACTTCACAAATCGCCTATGGATTAAGATTGAGATTGAAATTAGGATTGGAAGTTTATACAAGTCGTCGCCACACGGTCCACTGCACGTTCGTCTGAACCTAAGATCAAGATGGTTTGGGCTTGGGGGCAGCTTGGAACGACCCAGCAATACCAAAAACTTTTGCGGAGGTTTCGGATTCTCAAATGCCCTCCCGCTCGCACCACTTCCCTGGGTCAGAACTCCGATAATGGCATTTCGTGGATTGAGACATGGCATTCCTGGCGGAGGTGGCCTTGTTTATTCATAGGGTGATTAAATGGAGGGCATTGTCGCTGTTGCTCATCTCGAGTTCATCCACGACAGCTCTGAGCTCCCACCATGTAGTGGTCAGGTCCTAATACAGCAGTGCATTGAATACATCGTATGAGTACTGGTACCAGTGTGGCTTCATGAGCGCCCATCTCCGTGTGGTGTTGTTGATAAGAGGAATCTGATCGGTAACCAGTATTCCATGTCTTTTGCAGCGAGAGAGAAGAATTCGATCATCGAAGGGTGGAAAGTTCGTGCAAGACTGCAGGCGCTTCTCCTGCATTTCTGATTGGTAGAGCAGCTATAGCACTACGGAGTATAGTAGGATTGTACGGAGTAGAGTAGTCCTCGCAGCGCGGAACATTTCTTCCTAGGTTTTTTCTAGGCGCCGCGCCGAGGTTGGTGTCGTGATGATGATACCATGCTGACGATACCGATACTGCCCAGATTTCGATGCCCCTCTCCCTCTTCCACCGCAAGGCTACCGGTACCAGTACCACTCAAGACCAGAGTAGTCCTTCGTAAAGTTCCGACCGGTACTCGTACGGAAACCACAGAAATGAACCCCTCCCGCTTTCTTGAAGCCAAGACGGACCTCAAACGCTGGATCCTATTCCGCGTAAATCATCAGACGATTCGGCGGCAGAGCGCGGCGTTTGATGGGTCTACTAAAGAGTGATGGTTTTGGATGCCCTCACGTCAGTGCTACGACCGGGGACTCCCATAATGATGCAAAGAAGCTCTCTGGGTCTGCAGAGAAAACAAAAAGAAGGAGGGATGCTCGATTCGTTTGCCTGGTCCGGGGCGGCATGGGGACCCTGGAGGTAGCGTTGCGTTGCCTTGCGTTACGTGCGGTGAGGTGACACTGGTCGTCTCTCCCTATGATTCCTCCTCCCCCTTTACGTGGAGATGGTGGAAGGGCGCCCAGCCGGGTGGTGCGGCCCATCAGCAAGAGCACATCAGTCCAGCATTGCGTTGTGAGGGGAATGGGAAGGGGAATGCGGAACGGTATCGCATCGCATCACATCGCCAAAAACCGCCAGGGCGGCGTGCCATTCAATTTCCATCCATCCAAAACTCTGGTCAACCGTCATCTCCGTACAAGTAGCCTGGCTACGGTACGGAGATAGGGCGTGGGAATTTGGACTGTGAGGGTGTGTTGGCGAGCCGTCTATACGGTTGGGTTGTTTTGGCGATGCGATGCGATGCGACATCCATCCAGTTGTTCAGTACTCGTACGGTGTAGTATTAGCCACACGAACGGACTTTGAACGGCCGAAACTCCCTCGCTGCACAAACTGCAACTACCACATGCAGCAACGAGAACACATTCCGTGCGCTGTATAAATCCATGGACTGCACTTATCCAGGTACGAGTAAATTTACATGACATGAAGTGCCGCTTCCAAGGGAACCCCCGCCAAGCGAAAGAGAAAGGGGATGGATGGCATGGCATGGCATGGATTCTCTCCTCCTCGTTACGTATCAAAACGTCCTGCCATCACTTTTCCAGCAGGCAGACCGTTGGTTGTCAACCCTTTTTCTACGAAGGCAGTACGAAGGTATGGCCGACCCTTGCCATCGTTCCCTCACAGAAGAAACTGAAAACATTGCATACGGCATACCCTTCGCGGTCATTGTTTCCCTTCCCTACTCCCACACTCCAAGCGAGAGCCCGACATGATGGATGGGCCGGCCCCGCTTCGTGCGACTCGCAGAAGTCTTCGAGAACAAAGTTGAAACGTCCATGATCTGCAGCAAACACAAGCCATCCCACACCTGCTGCCTATCACAAACGACTGGGGAAAAAAGGACGAAAATAGAAATAGAAAAACCTTGCGGGGAATACGTTAAACGGCCTATGCCTCGTGGTAGGTTTGGTGATGAGAATAGCAGCGTGTTTCCAACTTTCCTAACCTTACGGTAAATACGAGAATAGTTTTTCGATGTCAAGCCAAAACCTGACTGCGCTCGCTTGTTGTGGATGGACGCTACCAACACTACCATAGGTCTAACAGATGGAGGTTGCAGATGAATGAGTGGATTGTAACGGAATCGTCAAGCGAGCTTCTACTAAATTAATCCGTTAATAAAACCTGCCACAACCCCAGAGTCTAGACCACGACGGTAGAATTGGAATGAGCCCAAGTGGGGGATGCGATGAAATTTCTGTCGCCGACATCAGTACGACATGTTCCTTGAATTTTGGTGTCCCTCGTCTTCCAAATGGGGCTATCTCTATCGATTGGCACTTTTCGCTGCCACCCTATCAAACAATTGGCTCGTATTGAAGAAGCGAGAAGGCTGTACTGTATTGCCGGTGTGTAGTTGGAAGCCCTTTTGGTCAACACGTTTCACGGACTTTGAATCCTTCCCGTCATCAGCCCCCTTCGCTTACCAATGCGTACGCAGTACCGATAACCTGACCACCTAAGTAGGTTCATCAGGAGAGAAGAAGAGTCTTGAAAAAGCAAGCAAAAGATGAAAATTTCCGAAGAAGATGTCGTCCAACCAATCTCAAGAGGGAGAAAAGAAAATACGAATTGCACCAGTGCGTCAAGTCATTATACCCATGCAGATTAAGATGCGTCGTCTTACATGCAATCATCTAAGCCATACAGCTGCATCTACCAGGTTCTGAGCGTCACAGTAGGTGGCATGCCAGCAGCAAGATCTCCCCGTGTGGGAGGAAGGAGGGCAGTGGTTCAGATGAAGGTAAAATAGTTTTTGACAAATTTCCCATATTGGACTGCATGCGACACAACAGAGGACCTCGGGTAGGAAGAACTTGTGAGACTTGATACTGAATGGTCCCTGATGGTCCTACACTCCCTCCACAGCTCATTCAATGCCGGAAGAGGCTCTGCATAGCCCTCGCTGTCCCTCGTTGCACTGCATTGACCTGGTACACCTGGTAGAGAAATCCCGAGGAGCAATTGTACGACTACAAATACCTGCAAACACCTGTCCAGACCAGATTCAGTTGCATTGTGAGCAGCACCTTATCTTCACCTGCAGAGCGAAGCCTTTTGCTGCTGCAAGACCTCTGTCACCAGACCAAAAACACCCGCCTGGGGCTATATGTGTCAAAGTGAGGGGGATACTATATTTTTTTGGTCAAAGTGCGTGCCAATGCTGCTTCGATTTCTATTGGCGAATCCAAACTGCTTCTTGCATTTGCACTTCAGCTCTCCAATCCTGACTGCATTCAGCTTCGCCTCGAAGACGCATGCATGCTGCTCCGTCTGGTCTGCATGATGATAGCGTTGACATTGACATCCCCTCATCATAAACAACGGTCCGAAGCTTCGAGGCAACCTCTTTGAACATTTTGGTGGGAGGGGGCGCTAGACCGTACCAGCTTCTCCTCTTTCCGCCGTTAATCTCGCTCTATCTATGGACAGAGGTGCAGCAAATATTCTCAACAACCAATATATTATCATGATTGACTATGTTTTTGCCCATTTGCGTGACGCTCGCCGAGTCAACTTCTCGGCAATTATAAGGGGTTTCATGCACTTTCCTGTCTGTGGTAGCCTCCATAGCCATGGTAATTGCAGCCCGATACATCGCATCTTCAACGCATTCATCCACCTGCGATGCACTCCTCGATTCACAATCACCAGGAGACAGACAGACGTGGACCCCACCTTTCCACCTGTCTCCATACCCCGCAATCAAGTCCCCGTTGCTGGCCGGACGATGGCGCTGCCCTCGTGTCAGACCTTACACCAAACATTCCTACAGTACCCATCTCGGCAGTAAAGCCCATGACTATGAGGTACATACCATGTGTACGTGAGCAGATTTCCAATCTCGATCTCTCGTTCGTTTTCCTCCTCTCGATCCTCCACGACGAACCCCAAGGTTTGCGAACCACAATCTCCCTCCTTTCTTCAGCTTCTCTATCGGTTTGCCTTGAATCGTGGCTTCCTCTGATTTGATCTTGGGCTGTCTTACCCATCTATCCCTCTTTCGTTACCGTCCATTGATTGTGTCTTATTGTCTACTCGTCACTTTTTTCCATTGCCACTATCTTCCCATCTCACTGTTTCCCGCTGTGTTTTCTTTGTCGTTTGATGGTGGAAAACGGGTTCCCAGTCGTCACTTCCAAACAGTGAGGCTGGCTAGCCGGACCAAGCAAGTCATTTCCATAAATAGGGCGACGTGAACCAGTACCACCAGGTGAAGGTTTTTCGCATGATCTAGTGGGAAGCCGCATAATGGGAATGGCGTGCTTGGTACCTCCTTCTACGTCTCTCTCGGTGTGACAAATGATCAAGGGAATCAGAAATAGGAAGGGCTCCAAGTTCGGGACCTGCTTGCATTTCATACCTCAGCATGTGATCTCCATCCTGTGCTGTACCTGAACGTTGTGAAATCGAGTGTCTTGAACGCACGCACATACCTACCTACACGGTGGTGCGGTGCGATGTTGTGTATTGTTACATGAGATAAGGAGAAAATGAGGCGGGAAATATGACCTGTAGCTTTTTCTGGGGCTGCTCTTGTTGGGTTATGTACTTCGTCTGTCTGGTCACCTTGACGGATTTTGATAAGAGGGTACAAGTGTCACCATGCTGCTTTGAAGATTCAAGAAAATCGTACTGTGTTTTCGGTTTTTCAGTGGCCTCATGTCGGAGTTTCAGGAGAGATCTCTTGATGGACCGTGGGGGCTTTTTGTGTAAGTCGCACACGACGAGATCATGTTGACGCCACCACGAGAGCAGCATGGTAGGTTTCGCGGGGTAATGTCTCGATTCGACGGAGTTGTTGTACATGAGCCCTTTTTGGGGAGCGGAGGGGTGAGGGAGGGGCACGGCACGCACCACACCTGGGGTTCCACAAAAGAAGGGGTAAAAGGTAAGGCTGCAATGAATGGATCTCTTTCTCATTGTCCATCTTATGTGGTCTGATATCGGGGAGTTTTGTTGGGAGGGTTTGCTAGTATGCGGTTGTGTGAATTGAGTTGGAGTCAGGTGACGACGGTGATGAGGGAGGTACTCATGAAAGAGTTTGGTTTTGATTTTTCTTGTGTATTTCTTTCTTGTACGCAAAATGTTCTTTTTTGGGAGTTCCCGAGTGAGGAAGTGATAAGTGATGGCGAGGGATGAGGACGTGTACGGAGGAGTGAAGTAAGCCCTACGGTGATCGATCTTGCTTGAAGGAGGGTGGATGGTAAGATGGTCGGAGTCGGAGGCGGGACCCAAATTAATTGGGGCAAAACCGGTAGGATCAACTCTTCCATTGTTCAATATCATGTCATTTCTTGGTATCACTCCCTGAGTAAGGTCCAGCGTCTATGCGTTGGCATGATATGATATCCTGTCGTCTCTCATGAGAGAAAAAACGGTGGAAGTAAGAAAATTTGATCAAAATAATGGAGATGGTCTCCTAAGCAAATCAAGGAATCGGATTTTTTCACGTTACGAGTACTCTTGCACTTCATCGTGGATTGAAGTGGGGGTGAGGGGTCAGCATCTCGATTAGATGTTTGCCGCCAGTGCCGCGCAATACTACCGAAGCTGTCGGTAGTCTTGGACTTCTATCCACATCTTTTTGATGTACAGGATGTCGCATTCTTCGGCATATGGTAAGCTGTAAAATAACGGGGGCAAAGTTGGTATGAAATAGTTGCAGTGAACGGAAAAGTAAGAACATTTCAATCTTTATCCTAGAAACTTGAATCCTGCAAGTGGTTCTTTTGTCCAATTCGAGGTTGAGGTAACTCTCTCGCTTATCGTGCGTAAACCCCGCTGCTTTGCTCAGGATCTTTGATTAGAAATTGGGTGCAACTTAATCTAGTGCAAGTCCCACTTGATAATTAAATGGAGTTGCAGATGTTATTTCATGCTCCTAGCTAGGTGGTATTGATATACTGCACCGCAAGCTGAATGGTTAATTAACGAGATGGATAGCGGGGATAAACAGTGCCAAAAAGCACCTCTCGCTTATCTCCGTACGACCCTAGGCTGTTATCTTAACTCGTATATGAAAACAACTGATTGGCTTATGTTCAAGCCTAGATGGGAAGTCCCGTTGAAGAAGCATCAAGCTGGATCTATCCAGTTTTACTGGTGGTTGAATATTAGAATACGGCGAGTTTGCCGCGGTTTGTTGTTTTGAAGGTATCACTCTATATCTACAGCCCCTTCGCAAAAGTAGCAAGCTTCTAGGGTATCTTACTAGTGTGTTGCGGGGTAATTTGCAAGGTATTTTGTATGTGAATTTCCTATTCCTACAGTTTCTGGCGTCGCGAAACGTCTTGCTACTTTTTCGAAGGGATTGTAGATTGTTTTTGAAATTCAGATATCTCAGGTAACATTATGGTAATTGTAAAATGCGCGGTACATACTTAGTAGGTATGCGCATGCTCGCAAGGTTCCTTTCGCTTATCTCAACAAATCTACTGTACCCCCGCTTTTCCTTTCCTTTTTCAGGTCAGGGGGCGGGAGGGGCGTAGAATGAAGAGTCTTGGCTGCGCGTTGCGACGATGAGCTGGTAATCGCGGGGCGGACGTCAATAAGTGGTAAGGCTGATGATCATGGCTGGTTATGCTTATGGTGTATAGGCTTTTGGTGTGTGTGGATCAAGGGTTTTGGGGTGTTGGTAAATGATGCAGGTGAGACTTGGTTGGCACTCACCTTCTTGTGGGGATGGAAAGGTGTGGATGGAATTGGGGGGCGTTGTACGTAAGATTGTGAAGTGTGCATGGGGAGCCTTTTCGCTTATTCTTTCGTGGGGTTTTTGTTCCTGCTGCCTAGATGGTTGATGGTCACAGAGGAAATGAGGAGTGCCGCGTTTCCCGCTGTATTTTGAGGTACTGGAGATCTAAAGGTATGTTTTGGTTGGAGATTTCGTTGGGAATTATCGATTAATTTTGATAGAAGGGATAAGTATCGTGGAAAGGTGGGAGGTCATAGAGTATGTAACCGTAAACAGCCGATGGCCTTCTTTCTGGTTGTGGAGGTTTTGTTATGTTTTACCAATGGAGAGAAAGAAGATTTTTAGTTTCACGTGGAGTATCGCATTCGTCCAAACCCCTTATGGTAATTCCCTTAAGCACAACCATGGAGCTATTTGCTCTTTTCCGAGTTCTGTGAAGTGTTTATGTGACTTCTTGGCGTGTTTGAAACTTGCAGAGACAGCTTCTCCTCTCAAAATGCAGCAGAACCTTTCTGGTAGAAGATATTCTTCATGCTATTGAATATCCTCTAGTTCTGATCTTGGAAAAGAAAAGGTCAAAGTAAAACAAGATTCCTTAAGCTTGTAAGATTTACAGACATTCTTGGCAAATATATCGACCTCCCATCCAGCACGTAGTTTAGTTTATTTGTTTCCTCGGTTTCTTGCTATAGGCGTATCTGTTTGCCGTCTTATCACTTTGAAAAATGTCGCCAAAAACCCTGGGCGTCATATATATGTTATGGAACCAGGTTATACCTACAACTCTCTTAGATTTCTCTGCATCCTATTCCATTCCGGTGATCCACAAGACTTCTACAAGGAGACTCCAGGGCCTTAATCCAGCTCATTCCACTCTAACTAAGCTTCATCAATCCTATATTTATAACCCTTCTATTCTCTGATATTTTTGAGAATCTGAGCATGTCTTTCGATCTTATTTCTGGAATTCTGAAGGAAGGCCACGGGAAACTCGGCGTGCCGACCCCTTTTACCTCGCTAAAATTCTTCAACTCCTTGATAAGACAACCAAAATAAAGGACCAACTGATTTTCGCCTTCACAAATATCGTCTCCGGCTATGCAGCTCCAAAAGTACCCTGGAACCTAAACAAGCAAAATTGTCATTGCGTAATTGTCGACCTCCGCGCAGATTTACGCCAATTTGTAAATCCGCGACAAGCTTCAAGAGATGGTGTACTCGGTAGAACATCCGCTTGAAGTATTCAAGCAAGACGTAGAACGAATTGTCCTTTGACATAGTACGAAAGCAACAGAGGAGATGTACTAAAAATCTATGAGCTTAAACAAGCTATAACAAAGGGACTGTATACCTGATAACCTTATAACCACAAAACGAGTTATCAAGAGCGATTTTCAACTATCCGGAGTAAGAAAATGTAACAAGGTACAAAGAAGATTAGAAAAATGTAATATGTAGAACCAAATCTTTTGAACAACCTATATTAATTCTTATTTATTTATTTATTTCTATTTAACGTCTATATTAATTCTTTAAGTACAAAACAATCGAACTACTGTTACCAATAGCTAAATTCTCACCAGGCTTAGATACGTGGAACTTGATTCTAATTTTGCAATTGCAATTCTAATCGCGAGGTATTTTGTCGTTTCTTGCATGCCCATCTTTGGTATCTGATCTTCGAATGCAGATCAAGTCCTTCACTTAGGTCTGGATTAGTGGATCAAAAAAAGCCTTCAGTTCAGAAACCAGATGTTAACGAGTAGTACCATAGTTCTCATAAAATACAGATATACACCCCAATCTCTATAGGTTAATTGCCTCCTTCCAAGTCCTCCTATTAGAAGTTCGAATACACGTTACGCTCACTGGAGGGTTCGTTTTTTTCGAAGCTCTTCCCGTCTAACTTAATCGTTTTACGATCGTGCCTTTTTAAGCGGGGGAGGAGGAAGGGGAAATCTCACTTATGAAATAAAGTCTGAGATGGTACAGATACGATGAATAGTAGTTTGAATAGGATAAAATCTTCTATGTCAAATCATAAGAAATAATGCATTATAACGTCAGCGCGGTAATTCCACAGTTCCACGCGTAAGAATATAATAAACGTCTAATTTTCTCTAAGACGGTAGGTAGTCTCTCAATGCGACGTCGAAGGAATCTAGATACAACATCAGATTTAGGATTAGGTTACTGACTAGCTTCTTTGTGGTTACTAACTCGTGGCGGCAATAACCAGTCATTTTCACGGGTAGAAGTAATCTTCTTAACACGTCACTTCCTCTCAGAAGTTGATATATAGTAGCAACACTATCCACACCACCCTCATCATAAACAATCCACCATGCCTTTAACCCACCCATTCCCCCTTAAAAGCGGTCTGAGACAGAAGTAGCAGCAACCTAACCCGCGAATCATACATGCCCATTCATCACTTTCCACCACTCCAACAGCGATACGTGAGAGAATTGGACGTAGCGGGAAGAGAAACATTATAATTCCATACAATACAATACAATACGAATAATACACCATCCAAGTTTGCAAAGCTATTCTAATCTCCTAGTTCTCTTCAAGCGACCTTGAGTACATATCATAATAATAGAAAGGCTCTTGCATTATAGTGCTCGAGATAAAGTGGCAATATATTACTTTCAGGACGAATATCGGGGTTGCTCTTTCACGGCATTTTATGGGAGCCAGGAGCCGTAGTTTACTTAGTATCTAAATCGGTTTGTAGAACACCCCGTTCGCTGTCTTTGGTTTAATGAAACTCAGTTGGGGATGAGTTGATCGGGATATAGGCATTTAAATCAGCATTCACTTAGTAGCGTACTAGGACAAGCATATTCCACGAACGAAATGCTTCCTCAGATTCTTGGTATCCAAGGTTTGGATACGAGGATTGAATCTAGGCGCATAGTGAATGGATGGATGTAGTTAGGAGACGGTGAAAATCTGCGTTTCCTGGCTGCGATAGTGACATGTCAGTTTACATATGAGCTATTGATATTTTCACAGGTTTGTACGGATGGAATTGAAATTGTTGATTGCTTGGTAATTCTAGCCTCTTTTAACTATTTTTGAATCTCTCCCCTTTCCCGATTTCCAGCTACGAGAAAGCAAGATGAAGTGGCACTTTGAGCCAACTAACGCCCCTTATAACCCCAAAGCCGACTGAGAAGCTATATCGCACAAGTCCCTTGATCCATATGAGAGAAATCCGTGAAGATCTTCAGCCCAGCTCGCGTGAGTAATGTCAACCAGATGAAAACCTACCAAACTCAGCCTACCATTCAGAGACAATATACCATTGATAATCCTTTGAACAATTTCAAAGCTTAACTCCTTTGAATGCACCAGCAAAGAACCGTGGCTTTTGGTAACAACCCATTTCCCTCAACTCCAACACCCTAATCTGACTCTCAAGGTACGATAAGATCTCAATCCACCGTCTCGCCTTCTCGGTACCTGGCAACTTGACCCCGTCACTCACCAACGTAATCCCCTCGCGCCCGGCAAAATTCAAGAATCTCGGTTCTTTGAACAAGAAACAGACACTCTTGAGACTGGCGAATTTCTCCAAATCGAACCACCACATATCACCCTCATAGCCCAACGCATTAGTCCCCAACGCCAAATATTCAACCTTTTCGAAGCCGTGTAGAACACCCTCCTTCATACTCTTGTTCAGACAGAAGAAACTGCTCCGGATGCCAAAGTACAACATGTCCTTTTTGAAGTTGACGTAGCTTCCCTTGCCGGCGGCCAGATTGTCTTTCATTGCTAGGGTTAGGGTATAGTGTCTCAATGCCTCGTGGCGGGACTCCTGGCATGTGTGGAGAACAGCTGGGACGGGGGAGTAGACGCGTGGGGCGCCGAGGAGCCAGGAGTCTACGAATGTGAGAGTCAAGAGGTTAAATTGAGAGACTGAGTTGCGGATGATTCTTTGGTGTGGTTGGCGGACTTCTACGACTCGGTGGACGGAAGACGCGAGACTCCAAATGCGGAGGCGGAGTTCAAGAGGGAGATCGTTGAAGCGAGTGAAGGTTGGTTCAGTCGATTTAACGCGTGCGAATGGTTCTTGTGTGTCGTTCTTGGACTTGAATTTGAATGGCAGCTTGACCCTGATCTCGGACTGGGACTTGGACTTGAGTTTCTTAGATGAGGTTGAGAGGTGAGGGTTGGCTGTTTGTTCTTTTGCCTTCGTGATCTTGTTTTCGAGGAAGATGAGAAGACGAAGGACGCGGACCACGAGACCAACTGCGGCGTGGTGATGCCATCCCACATTTTCTGGGAGGTCGATACTCGTCATCTTGGTTAGTATAGGGTTGTGCACAACTGTATGTCTTGATAATAGTGTGGATGGAGGTTTGAGAGGAAGGTCAGTCCTGTGCGAGTCGAGTTCGAGATCTCATCGGAAGAGGCTTAGCGCGAGAAATTGCGTTCTGTGTAGCCTTATGTCTGGAGTTGAGATTGATCTTCACTGAAGTAATCAGAGCTACCACCCCCTGTCTAAGCCTCACAATGTCCCGGCATATGGAAGTGTCACAATAACCGAATATCCTTATCTTTGTGGTCGTTCTAGATAGTGCAATCAGAAAATAGCCCTCATGCTCTTTGTCTTTGAATTTCTGGGATCATGCCTATGTAGAGCACTTCTAGTAGCTTGACTCGGGCATGGGAAAGAATAGCCTAAGTTTACTCACCGTTGAACACGAACCAACTGAGAAGTGGAAGAGTGGAAGAGTGGAAGGTGGGATGCGTACTGCCTGCGATTCAACGTTTTTCAGATCTTACGATGCCGCAAATGGGAATGGAATGGTGACAAAGTAATCAAAGTATTCACTTGAAGTAGGAGTGACGTTACTAGGAGCAACATGAGATACTGTACTTTACATAAAACTATCTTTTCCTGAGATCAAGTGTTTGTAGGAAGCATACAACATCCATTATGACGATGTTTTCTTTATCACAGCTAGACCGCACAACCTTGTCAGACCCGGGCTGGCAGAGGCTACATCCTATACAGGCAGCTAGTCAGCCATAAACTCACAACCTTAGCTGGAGCTGCCAGCTTCAAGGTTATTATATTTACTCCAACAAAGCAAGAGTGACAGATAGACAGCGAGTACCCGCGCTTTGAATTATAGAAGGAACATGATTGTTACCGCATTAGAGTTCAATACTTCCCAATCTTCACCGTTAACGCCAATCGGTCCAAAACATATTTGCCTGCTGCGATAGGTTTGAACTTTGAAGGGTTATCCTCGCTCACGCAAGATGGCAAGGTCTCAACAGTCTCGTCATAATTGATGGAGAAAAATAGCGGAATGCTGTATCTCTCCTTCGAAGTGCGATTCACGACTCGATGAACAGTGCTCTTGTACGTGTCGTTTGTCCACCGCATGAGAAAATCGGCAATGTTCACCACAATCCCACCTTCGACTGGCTGGGCACTTATCCAGTGACCATCTGGACTTAGGATTTCCAAACCAGGATTCGAATCTTGTAGCAAAAGTGTAAAACATTCGTAGTCTGTATGGGCTCCTAAGCCAATCTCTTCGTCTTCGTTGAGTTCAGATAATGGTTTAGGATTGGATGCCGGAGGATACTTGATGAGACGTGCTATTCCTCCAGGATGTGTTGTCAGAGGCTCGAAATAATCCTCGGGAAGTTTAAGGGAAAGCGCAAAGAGACGAAAGAGATGACGGCACAGCTGCAGAGCCGAAGTGTCTAGAGCTGGTTAGCTCAAGTCTACTCGTACCAAGGCATAAAAGAACACTTGCAGTATTCAGCAATGCCTTTGTAAAAACCGGGTAGATCGATCTCAGAGGGCCACTGATTTACACTACCACTTGAACTGCCATCAATCTCGACATATTTCCCATCACCACCGGTAGCGTCCAAGCCCGCCTCATAACCCCAATTGAAAGCATCCTTCGTTTCAGTGCTTGACAAATCAACAGAGGTGTAGGCTGCGGGTTCATAGCCTCGAAAAGTGGTGGACTTCTTCACATGAATGTCCTCCTTTTTTGACAAATGTAGTTCATGGAAGAAGCGACGGGCGAGTTCAAGAGTAGCATCGCAAAGATTCTTGGGAATTCCATGGCCAGTAATATAGAAGAATCCAATCGTGGTACAAGCTTCATGAATCTTGTCTGCCACCAACTGGCGATCTGAGAGCGAGCTTGAGAAGGAAGGTGACAAGTCAATGATGGGAATTGAGCGAAAGGAGGTCGCTTCGTGGCCGGTGGTTGATGAGCTTATCGCAAGTCGTGATTTGAGGTAATCTTGTGCTTCGAGAGCTGCTGATTGAGATATGCTGTGAGGAGCCATGATGGCGAAAATACACTACACACAACCAACGAGAGAAGTTAGAGATGGCGGAGGTCATTCAACGTGGAGCTACAGTATCACGAGGTTTTGGTAAGAATGTACAAGTACTAGCTACGTGCTCTAGAACCTTCACAGTTCTTATCATCCCCGCTGATAAGATTGAGTTTCAAAGTGGGGTGTCGGTTAGTTAAAGCGGCGTTCAAATTCCCCTCCTTTTCTTCTCTCCACACAACCCGAGATTCACCAGAGCTCCATCAATACGCCAAACTCGGCACATACGTCTATAATTACACAATTGAGTCTGGGTTGTGATTCACGGAGACTCGCCAAGAAGGTACGCTACTTTCTTTTGGTCGCCCACGAGCTTACTAAAACCAAAAGTAAATAGTCGTTTACCACCATAAGTTATTGTCTCTCTTCTGTCTAGCTTGCCTGGATAGCCCTATATTGTGGAAGATTATAAGGAGAGTAACGAACGTAGTAGGTAAGACACCACCATCCAGCATATCTAGCCATAAATTATACCTCGTCACACCCACTTGTACTCAGTTGATATCCATTGTTTTCTTAATCCTAGGTCTTTGAAAACTTGGTTAGATCGGCGGGCAAGGTAACATACCTTATTTTCATCTGTCGTTTAAATCCATCAAAAGATCCCAGCTCTCTATTTGTAACTATTCCCAAGAGCTCCTGCTTTTGCCATATTATACAGAACAAGTCCACAAGCCCACCAGCTCAAGCAACCGCTCCACTTGGCTTCCCGATGTCTCACTCCGTTCTCTCAAAGGTCTCGGCAAACGCTTTCTGAACCCCTGTACAGTAACGTTTTCGAAGAATCACTTGCATAAACCACGCCGACACCCTGCTACTGCAAGTCATATCTCCCTCCGACTTGCAACAAAACTCCAACAGAATCCATCTTGTCGGGTTCCATTCATTCACATGATCCAGACCTGAACCCGGGGTCGTGAAAATTGTCGCAGAGGATTTCTTTAAGAAATCGAATTTTGCTGCCATCACGTGGCTTCGGCGAGATTTTTCATCACCCACCCGTGGACGCCAAAGACATGACACCAAGAGTTGCGATTAAGACTTGAGCTTTTAACTACAAAGTTCGCTCTACAGAAGCAGCACAAGTACAAAAGATGAAGGTCAATGAAACAGTTGGTATGTTTTATAGCTTGCATTACTATGAATTTCACTTTAGCTAATATTCTGACAATCAATAGCTGTGTCGACTTCTCGAATCCTCTTAGTTCCCTATGAAGCATCACACGTAACAACTTACCACGAGGTAATCTATTTCACGTTTTTGATTGCTTTTGTTGTGTATAGTTCTCAGAACAAATATAATTACTGTTTCCGATCCAAGGCTTCAATACTTAAGACGCGCTGACCAGTGAGTCTACTTACAGTGGATGCAAGACGAGGTAAGAGTATGCCCATGCCTTCTAAAACCATCAACTAAAATCATACTCAGAAAATACAAGAATACACAGCTTCAGAGCCGCTTTCTCTCCCAGAAGAATACGCGATGCAAGCAAACTGGAGAACGTCACACGACAAATTGACCTTCATCGCATGTCAACCACTCTCAGCAACCGCATCAATAAATATCCAAGGCGGAGTTGATGACGTCCCCGAACGAATGCTGGGCGATGTGAATTTGTTCATTTCTCAAGAGGACGATGATTCAGATGGTGATGCGACGTCACCAAAAGGACTAGTTGGCGAACTGGAACTCATGATCGCACCCACGGACAAGCGAAGACAAGGTTATGGACGTGCAGCGATACTGGCGTTTATGTGTTACATCGCGAGGAATATCGACAATATAGTCTCCGAGTACAGTGCAAACGAGGCTACAAAAATCACGAAAGCTGAGGGTGTAAGTCCCCTTCGGCTTCGAGTCAAGATTGGGAAGGAGAATGAGCCGAGCTTGAGGTTATTTGAGAGTCTTGGGTTCAGAAAAGTCGCGGAAGAGCCGAATTATTTTGGGGAGTTGGAGCTTTGCTTGGGTGGTTCTTCGGATGGGAAGTCTTGGGTTGATGGGTTTTTGGAGGGGCTGGGTTACGAGGGGTATGCTGAAGTGGATTATTTACCTGATAATTGGAGTATGAGCATGAGTTGATGAGGAATCTGATGACTCCCAAGGAGGAGAGTCGAAGGAAGTCAGGAAAAAGAAAAAGCTCCAAGAAATGAGCCTCTACTCAATAGTAGAAACGAGGAACGAGCAGAACAACAAAATCACTACTACAACCATTTCGCTCGGGGTTTCCTGTTCTAGATAACAGAAAATTGATGAGAAAACATTCTTATTCTCCTATACTTAAGGAGATAGTGAAATGGAGTTCCTAATGTTAGAGGATGTAGATGTAGATGTAGGGATGTTGGCGAATTAGGTTTAGCTTCGCGATCTACCTCCGTACAGGGAGCGACCTTATTTAATTACCGTGGTAATGCCCCGCCAATTAGGCCGAAGTCAACAACCCCCCAAGCACAATCTCATCATCGCTCACTCTGTACAACTACCATCACATTCCATTGATATTGAACATTATCTTCTCCTTCACCCTCACCTTCACGCGACCCAGCTTCTTGCGACATCTATCGATGACGAGAAGCTCTCGATAGCTCCATTGCCCGCTTGAGCTCGAGCTCTCGCAAACCATGTTGCGACGGCCACGGCCACAATGACGAAGACTGTCCATCTGCTATTCCGCATCTTCTACACCTCATTCTTCACCGTCCTTAATATCTTACTACTTGCGCTTCTTCTGGTCACCCCCGCCGACACCATCCGTCAAGCGCTCGTCAATAAGCAGCTCTATAATATCTTCGTGATCGCAGGATCCTATCTCCTAACCGTCTCTCTCGCTCTCTTCATCTATGCCTCGAGGCTGTACACGAACCGAACCGTCCTGGCGGCGATTCCAAAAACATGGATACCAGTGGAAAAGGGGGAAGTCAACAAGCATGTGAGGAAGATGATTGTCGCAAGTCTGAGCAGAAGCGCCGCTATAGCTTGGGATTCTCGACCGCGCGTTTCTCTTGAACCAGCTACAGTCGTATCCGAACCAGAAGCTCGCGATTCGGTTGTTCAAGCTCCTGAGTCGCCTTCTAGAAGGACAGGCCTTTTCTTCCGAAGGCGATCTGCGAAGCCCGAGAACCCCCCAGCGACCGTTCTTATCCCCCCGCCAGAACCTGTTTGGGGTGAAATTACACATAATGGTTGGGCATCGCCAACGTCTCCTGATCTGCCAAATCTACAATACACAACAGTATTGTTGGAGTTGCCACATCTTATTGAGGCAAGGGCGGTTTCGCTAGCTCCAATCGATCCCAATTCTGCATCCGAGCCACCGATGCCAGATATCAGAGCTGTACAATTATTACAACGACCAGCCTCTATGGGTCTCCGAGATTATATTGGACATCTTACAACAATTGGTATCATAAAGGCCCCGTCTACTGCTATTGAATTCCTGGATGCATACGAATATGCACGATTTGGCACACGTGCACTTAGTGAACATCAATTCCGCGAACTCATGAAGCAATTTGCCGAGATTCTTCGTAACATGGTTGCGCTCAGTCCTGCTGCTCTCCTAGAGTTTGATAGTGAACCAGAGAGCGATATCGACGACGACGCTACATCTACACCCACGCCTGTCACCCCACGAAGTCGTTCCCTGCGTTCACTGGGCTCCTCCTATAGTGCACTTAGTCGGACTGAAAGCGAGGGCACGATCTTCACTGCACCTTCTCGGCGGGTGAGAACAAGTGGCACGACTAGTTCCAGGCAAATGGAGTATCCAGCCGCATCAGCCACCCCAAGAAGCAAGAAGCGGACTATTTCGAAATCACCCAGCGCCAACAACTTCGCGCAAACGCGAAGGCCGTTTACTGCGGGTACTGGTTCCTCAGACGAAAGTTTGCGATCCGTGAGTCAAGGCAGTGTGATTAAATTAAGCATGTCGAATGAAGAAGGCAGTTTACCGTATACCCTCAACATACCCGGAGCTCGTAATTAAACGGGGTCTGGGTGTTTTAATGATGTTAATGAAATGCATAGCGAGGAGTTGGGGGGTTTAGAGGCGTCAGGCTGTCTGGTCCAGTCTGATCATTAGGACTTTGGTATAATATTTTATTAATAATAGATAGTATAATTTTCAATGGTAGATTTCTTCTTCGTTCGGTCATTACATCGTTTATCTTCTTTCTCGTCCTGCATTTTTGGGTTGCTGGTTTCTCGGGTTTTCTTCGATGTTCGTGTTCTAGTAGTTCTTTTGTCTTTAGGGGATTATCTTATAGTATGGTTTTTGTTCGTCCCTTCGTTCCAGCGACGTTCCTTTGTTTTCGTCTTATATATGTTTTCTAAACCCCTCGCTTTCTTCTTATTAACCCACTAGTTTGTTGGAATTTGCGATAATGGTATAGTAGGTAGGTTCATACACTAAAAATACTTATATATCTTACGAGGAGTGAAAATTGTAGGAAGTGAGGTGTGTACAAAGTGAGGTTTATGGGAAGTGAAATCTGTAGGAAGTGAGATTTATATTAGGTGAGATTTAAGAGGAGTACACTCTAGAGGAAGTGAATTCTAAGTAAAGTAAATTCTAGAAGAAGTGAACTCTAGAAGAAGTGAATTCTAAATGAAGTGAATTCTACATGAAGTGAATTCTAGAAGAAGTGAACTTTACAAGTAGTAACATTTAAAATTAGCAAAATCTAGGGAAGTAAAATCTAGGGGAAGTTAAGTAGTTATTAGAGAATATACCTTACTAATTTTAAGAGCCCTTTACTTTCTAGTACTACTCAGAAAATAAGATGGTGAAGAAGTGAAGAAGTGAAGATCTAAGGAACCGAGGAAGTAAGAAACTAAAGAAGTAAAGAAATAAGAATAAACGTCTCTATTAATAAAGTATTCTAAAAAGGGAAAGACTTGATTATTATAGTATTATAACTCTTAAACAAAACTTATCTCAGAGGGTTAACTAGTCCACGCTTACTAAGCATCAAGTAGCCTTCTTAAATGCTATTTACTTATACGTAGCTTTCCTAATAAAGAGTTTAGTGAGTTATTCAGCGTGTTAACGCCGTTTCCTAGCGTCTAGTACTGTGGGATCATCGGAAAGTATAAACATTGTTTAGTTTATAGATAATCTCCGCTTTGTGATGTAACCCTATTTATATACAATTGAAACGAAATCAAGAAGGCGCTGCCTTTAATGACACACAGAAATTCATCGGTACACAGACTGGTATTTAACACAGAAATAAAGCAGGACGCAAAAAAGGAAAACTTAACAACAGTACTGTAACAAATAACCATGTCTCTCATACAATCATCATACCCCTTCTAGTATTAACAAGAAGTTGATAGCCATCAAAAAAATCAAGTCCAATCAATCAAGTCCTCGTTACCAGTCTGTCTCGGAGGAAGCTGCCACTCCTCATCATGACCCGGATGCATAACAGCACCCTTATCCTTAAGAAGCAGAACACAGCTAAGAAGACGAGCATACACATCATCCCTTTGCCTCTTCGGCGCCATCCGCAACCTCGAAGAAACCTGCTCCATAATAGACTTCCCTTCGTAGTTCCTATTATTCGGCTTTGTCCGCCACTGCAAGAGGACTTGCACGCATGGTCTTGAACCCCTCAGGGCTGCAATCGCTAGCGCCGTGTGTCCACGTCTGTCTCGCATGTTGTGCTCAACTCCTGCTTCTAGGAGGGAAGTAATGTGTGTTTTGAGACCTAGTTACTCGTCGTTGGTTTTCCAGAATTTGAGGATGGCGGTTAGGGGTGTGTCGCCGTGGATGTCGAGCCATGATATTTGGTCGGAATCGATCAGGGATGTAATCCAAAATTCGGGGTTCCATTCGTCTCGTGTGATTTCCTGTCGGAAACTCAGATCTTCGTTCAAGGGGTCACTGAATTCCGCGGAGATCTGGTCGATTTCCTTATCTGATAATACTAGACATTCTCTGTATCCCACCAATGGTCCAACAGGGGCAATTCTATCTTGTACTCTGCGACCTTGGTTGTCACAGGCATTCATATCAGTACCCATTATCTGAAGCGCACATTGGAATCCATCAGAAGTGCACATTGATGAACCATCAAAGCGTCTCCAATCTTGAAAGGTAAGATGTGCGATAGTCTGGCCATGAAAATCTTTTTGCTGGAAAGGAAAATTCAGATGCGCGAGTTTTTCCAGGAGACTGAGGTAGGATTGAGAGTCAACTGTGCACACTCCCGCTTCTAAACGCCTCGATTTGAAGATGTGCAGAAACGTTTGGCCTAGGACATTGACAGCTTTGATGTCAGCTCCTAGCTCAATGTAACGCAATATTTGATGGATGGTTGCATTTGATGAAGCTGCTGCATAGTGCAATACGTTGTTCCCAAATTTATCTCGTCTATTTAGGTTCCCAGTCGTTGGAGCCGCAATACCAGAAACAGCAAGAAACTAGTCCTGTGAAAATAAACAGACGCCACATTCGAGATAGAGTTTGTTGATAGGTGGACAGCATTCCCTAAGTCGTGGTGTTATCATTGGGTATTTGGGTATTCTGTTTAAAATCCTTGAGGTGGGTAAAATGTTGTCCTCTTCGATCAGTTCGTTCCACATATCAAGTTCCTCTTTCGTCAGTACCGGAGGAGTCTTCGACAAGCTAGGACTTCCAGGCCTCTCGGAAATTCGTCCGTCTTGGTAAGACACAGATGCACAGGAAAACTTGGAGCGCAACGAATTCCCATACATTGATATATCACTTGAACGCCACAAGGGCATCGAGCCTGTAGTGCCGGACACCTGGGATTCTGCTAACGAAAGACGAAGAACTGAGTTGACGACATTCTTCCAGCTATGAACGGGACTCGGTGGCTGCTCTGATAATCTCCTCGAAGCTGAATCAGAGAGTGGGGTTGGTTGCAAGGAGATGTGCCCATGAGACCGCTGAGACTGGCGACTACTGGGGCGCGATTCGCCTGACGAAATCAAAATATGCAAGGCTTTTGGATCTATCATCTTTCCGATAGTGACTAATTGGTTCTGAAGTTGACATAGAAATCTGGGAGGGTGTTCTGATCGGAACCCTCTCGTTAGTCTTGCCCTAACAGATTCACTGTGTTTGGAGTCTATACCAATAATCGGAGGAGTTCTCCTAGAATAATGAGTCGATGGTTCAAAGTTTGCACATGTATTATACTCCATTGTCGAGCCGTCCAACATTAACATTCCTGTATTGATCAAGTTGAGGTCCTGAAGTATTGATAGAGTTGGCTTTTCCTGGGTTTGTTTGAGTTTCGGAAGCTCTTGATTGGGGCTCTCTGGGCTCTCGACAATACCCTCCATACAGCTTATTGGCCGAGAACGAATTGTTTGTCTCCGAGATTCTTTTCGTAGATATCTTCGAGGATTAGAGACGCGACCACTACTGATTTTCTTCACCAGATCCAAGCGAGCTTTCATGTGACAAAGATTGCGGGGCCTGTACCGGGAATATTCTTTGGTGTAATCCCGAGGGAAGAGTGAGTGAAGCATGTTTTGGAGAGTTTTCAAACTAGGAGTTTCAGTATATTTTGGGATAATGTTTGACTATGTACTTTACCTCACTTTCAACCCATTTGCTTCTAGAAGATCTCTTATCTCTGGAGAAGAAAGGTTTGTCAAGGTATACAATCTGACAAGCTGCCTTCTCTGTGCATGTGTCCATTTTTTGGCTGGTCTCGCCATGTTGTTAAACGTTCTAGCTTGAAACAGGCTTCACTAATATCGAGGCAGTTAATGACAAAACTTGATGAACAACTTAGATCGGCTGTCTGGACGGTACAGCCAAGTTTGAGCGGTTGTAAATACAAGCAGATAAATGGCAATCTTTTGGAGAAACCAAGATAAGTGGAAAATGTAGCGATAGAAATGCAGCAACGCTATGATATCCGAGTTGCGGCTTGCTCCAGGACAATATAGTGTTGTATAGTGTTGAAAACGATTACAAGAAAGATTCAGGTTGTGATATGTACACACTGATATATAAAGAAATGTAAATCGTGGAAAGAAGAATAAATTGGTGACATGAATTTACGTTGAGAATCCTACTAGGCAAACTTGAGGCAATTCTGAAGGCTGTGACTATCCGATGGTTCGCAAGTCTGACCAAAGCAAGTCCGACCAATGAGAGGTGTAAGAATAGCCCCGTCCATATTCCAGCCAATCAACGAGTGCGCAAAAACCCCCAGCGATAAGGGCATTCCCGTTTCCCCCCTGTGTTAGTCAGATGGCACCCACATGAACTTGAGACTTTTTGGTAACTAGGAATTATCTCACCAAAACCTTGTGTAAGAGCAACGAATAAATATCTAGGGTTACAGTAAAAAGGATGACAATTGAATTGGAAGTTTCTGCCAGTGTATATTTAGGCGCGGTCATGTCATGTGAACTCACTCGACGTAGGACCATTGACGTAAGAAGTGAGAAAGGGGACGGAAACCCCCATCAAAGTCACGGATGTCGAAACTCACAGGAATTTTGAGATTGCCAATACCTTCGGATTTTGGCACTCCCCGGCTGCAGAAATAAGGGGTACGGTAGGGAGTGTAACTAAGGACTTGTGCGCAAAAACCCTCAGACTGGTGTTGAAGATGCTTTGCCTTACTCTTGCATAAAGATGCCCTGGCTAGGTATCTTGTCTAGTAGATAGCAAGCAAGGCTGGCATCTACATCGATTATGTAAGATTGAACAGAGTCGAGTTGGCATGTACAGTCACAGTATATTGACAAGGCAGTCGGTCAAGACATGTCACCAAGTTTTGGGGCCAACCCCACAATTCATTTTCGATAGTCAAAACTCGGATATAAGGAGAGAGGGGGAGGTGTTCTTACTTTCAGCGGTTAGGCGCCATTTCTTCCCTTCACGGCCCTGTTTACTCCCATATCCAAGAATTGGAGAGCACGAGCAACCGCATGCCGAAGAGGTTCAAGCGATGGCAAGGTAGGACCAAGAGAGGGCAGAAACGACCTCCCACTTGACTTGAACCGCAAAATGAGTTGGTACACCATCGCGACCAAAGCCCTAGGCGGCATTGCATTTGAGAAGTGGTCTACCTCGTGCAGGACCATAGAGCCGCTCGCTAAAGAGGAGTGCCGCCGTTGCACCGGTGCGCAAAAGCAAAATTTGGAACTCAACCACTGTCAGATACCGATGTATGCACGGTAAGTACTATACTCAACTAAGTACAAAGACCAAAATACACCTAACCGTCTCTCGGGTATGCGGCCCACTCTCAAACCGCCCAAAGCGTATATCCAATTTAACGGATTGTTTCGTGCGCAAGTATCCCGTTGCTCAACCATTCAATAGACCCAATGTCTCGCAGGATCAAATCTTGAAGTTTATAGGTTCGTATAATTACGTCTTCTTCCTATGCTCTTACACGCACCCAGATCCATCTTATTCATCACTTAGCTTTTACGGCCAAGTGACATATTAAACGACCACCACTTTTCTATATTTAGAATTTAAATAATTAAATTCCTCGTCAAGAGAATTCTTAAGAGCCAGCAGCTTCCGATATGACTTCAACATGCCAATTTCAGTAGAGTGGTCAATAGCAGGGTATGGTGTTTTTCAAGTCAATCCCCGTCATGGTTATTTTTCTTTGTCATCTTTCTCGCTCATCCTGATGGGTCAGGGGCAGAGGCCGGTTCTCCCAAACAAATGGCTAATAGATGCCTTCAGACCTTCATAGCAACTATCAGTACCGCTCAAACCAATGAAATAACCAAGAAACCGCAATTTTAAATATGGCAGAAGTTCAGTAAATTAGCCATTACTTCATCTTTCAGCTCCTTACTTTGACAAAAACACAGCACAAAGGATGAGCGGCACTCGCCAATGGAGGCCTATCCAAACCAACCAGAATTTCATGAGAGAATCCGTCGGACGTCTGACCCCGAGAAAGCCATGAAGATTCATAGGAAGAGGATTTCGAACATGATTCAGGAGAAAGAGAGGAAAAATGGAAAGCCAGACCTTGAGTAAGGGGGGTGATTGAGGTTCGGTTAGAAGAAGCGAGATGCCAAGTCGGGAAAGAAAAAAAAGGGGAAAGGGGAGGGGGGGATGGGAGGGGGGGCGACAACCTCTTTTATCATATAAAGAGCTCAAAACTATAACTTCACAAACAAGTTGCAAGAAATACAGTTGGTATTAGACAGAGCCGCGGAGCACAATTTTATAACTTGAAAATCAACGTTTATTGTGAAACTGAATCCTTAGTCTAGCTAAGATACATCGAAGTGAACCAGCCACTTTCCCTTTAAATTTGTCCAACAGGGATATTCATCTTGAAAATTTTGAGCCTGGCAATTTGTATTCTGATCCTCCGCCAACACCAGGTTCATTCATAACATCATATCGCTTCTTGTGGGCTCGCCACAACACCTTTTGATCAACCAGCAAATAACCATTGTGAATCCACCACACTTTGTTCTCATTCTCAATCTTTCCAGCGTCATCCCCATGTCACTATTCGTATAGTACGGGTTCTAAAATAATTCGTTCATCTCTTGACACATTGGATTCTCAGGCGTCAATTTTTCAAAGAACTCGTCAAAGCTCAAGACCTGACATGTGTCGTCATTCATCTCATTTGCATTTGGATAAAAATGGTATTCTTCTCCACCAATACCTTCTTTCCATAATCATATCTTCGCGAAAGCACAACCGTCGAAAACATAACACGAGCAATCGTCGTCCATGTCATAATCCCTATGGATGGGCCGCCTAGAAGGGGGATTTGAAGGATATTGCTGCGTATTTGGAACGACACTAGAACCTGGTCTATAGCTACTTGACGACTGTTCATATTCAATCTGTTCTTGAGGAGGATAGCCTTGTGATTGCGGACCAGATCCAATTCAGATCCGTATGAAGGATTATTCGCTGTCGTGTATGTTTGCTGAGGAGTAGCTAAAACTTGCATTGAACCAACGCCATATGCTTCAGCTGATGTCGATGATTGCTGCTGCGGCGGAGCAGAAGAAAGTTCCATCGAATTAACAGGCTTTCCGAAGCACCCCTGCACGAGCTTCTTACCCAGTGGGAGCGGGCGCAGATAGGGTATCGACAACCGGTTGTCGATACCTTATCTACATTTTTGTATACGCTTGGTTGTAGATACCCTATCGACAATTGTCGATACCTTATCTATAAACGGTTGTTAATAAATGGTTACTAAAATATCTAAAGTTGTTAATAAATTACAACTTTTTTCTACGTAGTTTTATACTTATTTCTATACTTATTTTTATACTTATTTCTATACTTTCATAGCTCGAATTACTTACTTAAATTAAGTATATATAGAGGTTATAGGTAGGGATAAAAAAACGACTAAGTATACGTATAGGTAGGGATAGGAGGGAGTAAAAACCAAACGAAACGACTAAGTACACTTATAGGTAGGGATAGGAGGGGGGATAAAAAACGACTAAGTATACTTATAGGTAGGGATAGTAGGAACGATAGGTAGGTAAAGAGAGGGCGAGGGAAGGGTAGTAATATATAGGTAGTACTCGGTAGTACTCGGAAGTACGTGCGTAGTAGGATCTACAAGCCTAAACTCTTATTAAAGTCTATTCCTAGCTACCGGACCGGTAAAAGTACTTAGTAAAATTAAGGGACTAATAAAAGTACTTAGTAAAATCGAGAAAACTTGTCTTATACTTAATAAAAAAAGGTCTTATAGAGAACGCTATAGGGATAAATAGACGACGATTAGAAACTAATAGAACCTTTTATAAAAAGAATAATTTTTTAAAAATAAAACTTCTCTTATATAATCGGTTATCGATAAGGTATCGACTAGGTATAGATACCTTATCTACACCCGCTCCCTAGTACTCCTACTAAGAGGCCGGTGTCACGAATCACGTGCTCACGTAATACTTGTCATAATAAAAAGGCGTAACCCTCGATAGGCACATCTAAGTTTCTTATAGTAAATAGGGATTGCTTAGAGAGGCTAAGCGATCTAAGCATTTCTATTAGCTACAAAGGGTTACGTAATCTAGTCGCCTAAGTTGCCTAAGTCTCCTATCGACTAGAGCGATTAAGGCAAGTAATTAGAGCAACTAACAAAGAACAAAGGTTCTATATAAGACTAGTATATCTAATATTAGATAGGAGCTTTATACTTAACTTGGTTATTAATCTTATTATATTTATTTAATATCTTTAATATAAGTAACAAGTTTACTTCTAAGTAAACAACCCGATAGTCTTCTTCTTATTATAGTATACTAACCAGCGAACACCTAGCTAGGTTTAGTTAGCTAGTTTGAGTATTCGTTATAGCCGGGTACTTGAGCGAAGCGATTTTATAGGGGTAAGGTAGCGTAAGAAAATTATATATAATAATTTTTTTTTTAGGTTTATAGGCTTAGGAGAGTATTTATTTAAGTATTCTACTTAATTAGAAGGAGTTTTAGAAATATCGATTTTTTTAATTTTTTAATATTTACTAATATTATTAGTTGTCGATATAGTATCGACCAGGTGTAGATAAGGTATCGACTTTTCTACTCCCACTAGGTTAAACTGCTCCCTTTCAATTTCATTTGGAAATGCCCAAAGAAGTTCTTCTTCAGACACTCGCTTTAGTACGTTCATTCTCCCAAGGTTCACTTCGCTCATGTATCTCATCAAAGTTTTAGGGTTTATGTCTCTTATATCACAACCACCATCCCTTGCCTTCTGTAAATGCGTGCAGGTTTCTTCAGCTACTTCTTTCCGAGTAGTAACTATGGACATCAGCGACTTGCGTGCTGCACTGATTGCTGACTGAAGGATATAGCGTTCTTGAATTGACCATGCATTCCATTGTGGTGGCTGTGTGGATTGGCTAGGACCACTTATTATGAAATGGTGCACTGATGTGTGTGTTTTGACGTATGAGTTGATGAGTTTGATAAAGTTTGAAGATATCCTAACAATTCTTTGGCTTGCGGAAAGTGTTTGGGGTTGGGTGCTTCGATATAATTTTGAGAGTTGAAGGTTGTAAGTTATGTCTGTGTTCAAGAGAGACAGAGAGAGAACAGAGCCAGCCAGAGGCTTATATACTCGAACACAGAGAGAATGTCCATTCACAAAATGAAAGACACTCTTGCCTAACCCACTGCACGTGGATAGACCTAATGTTATTCTCAAAGGGATATATACATTCAGCAAGCATGATTATTCTTCTGTCGCTTCATCCTATTTATTATAAACCTAGCATACCCTTGAATGATAACCAAAGCTACACCGAGAAAAGGGTAATGACAAAAGCCATCTACTTATTACTCATGTATATTCATAGAAAACTATTCGCCGCCAAATACCTGTAAGACTAGACCTGGTTTGAATTTTGCTTAGCACATGTAGTCAGCTGTGAATCTGGATACACGTGAATGGTAAGCAAGAATGCATCCACAAATACGACGCCAGCCGGGAACAAGCTTCAGATATGAATCATTCTAATACAGCGAGGGACAAATGGGATCAAGGCGTATCTGTGAGGCGCAGAAGCGACGTCCTACATTTCACAATCATAAGTAATCTCTTTTACCCCTGTCTCCTCCGCTTCCAACAACTTGTCATACCATTAGTATCACTTCCTCCCTCCAACACGTTTGCCTATACCTCTTGAGGTGCGAATCCATGTGTTTAACATGCGGGGTAGAAAGTAGGTTTATTCCTCTTTGTAATTTAGGAAGTAGCTGCATTACTAGGTGAGCTAATCGAGCTAACTAGCTAGGCAAATTCCCTTATACAGTAGTCAAGACTACTTGCGAGGTTACATGAATACAGAAATTAAGGGTGATTCATATTACTATTCCTATAAACCGGTCTATCATGTCGTCCTATGTTAACATAGTAGCCTTCGAGTTCGGTATGAGTCAACTGGGCTGGGAGTAACATTCATAAAATCTATACATTATGACACGCGGTTTCTGAATCACACGAGTGGTTATATATCTTTCTGTGAAATCTCTGTATTAATCAAGGGCGAAAGAACTTCACGGTAAGCTTTAAAAGTTGCTTTAGATCCTTTTACAAACCCCTTGATCAATTTGATCAAAGCTAGTACCTTTATCTCCCATTGTCCCGCAAAGAAAGCCTGATGGTCACATACAGAGAACCCTTCCAAAATGTCCCTAACTAGAACTCGGGCCACTCAAGTTCCATAACTGTTTAAACCCGACCCCTTTATTGTACACCAACCTCGGATTACCATCCTCCATGAACCCCCACTTTCCACTAGGGAAGCTCTATCAAAGTCCATGATCATGTTGAGAAGTTTAGGCCGTACCTCACAGCGACAATGGTGTACTTCTGAAGTAACTGGTTAACGATTTCCTCCATTTCTCCTTTCCTCCCTTGGTTTACACTGGGGTTGAGTTCCCCCAAAAGTAGAATACCTCCACCTCCTAAAAACACGCTGTCGGTATTCATGTAGCTTCTTTGGTCTCATCCGCTTGGGCATCACGGCTAGGGTGAAGCTGAAAAGTTGCCGCTGGCCCTGGAGAGGGTGCTAGCTGTCATGCCAACTTGAAAGACGCCATGCTCTTGTAGGAGGGACCATATTTCAACAATATGCATAATAGACTCATAAGCAGTCCGCAGCAATAGCTAATATCTTGAAAGTGTCTATATGTAACGAATACTCAAACTGGCTAACTAAACTTGGCTGGGTGTTCGCTGGTTGGTATGCTATGATAAGAAGAAGACTATCGGGTTGTTCACTTGGAAGTGAACTCGTTACTTGTATCAAAGATGTCAAACTAATATGATAAGATTGATAACTAAGTTGAGCACGAAGCTCCTATCTAATGGCAGACGTGCCAGTCTTATATAGAACCTTCGTTCTCTCGATGTTCGCTCGTTCGACAATCGAACTGGCTAACTTCGCCTGTTCGCCCGGCTAACTGGCGAACTCCTAATATCACGTGATAACAATACAGAGAAATCCCTGGATCGCTTAGCTACTCCAAACGATCCCTATTTGCTATAAGAAACCTGGATGTGCCTTTCGAGGGTTGCGCCTCTTATTATGACAAGTATCACGTGAACACGTGATTCGTGACACTATACTTGTCTGCAAAGACGGACCACCTGGCAGAAAACAGCATTTTGCACAGCGATGACTCTACAGATAAACCTGGCTATAAGGATACTGGATATAAGGATAACCTCGGTTATATCCTTAAATTTTGGGTCCCGGATTTTTTAGGTCAATATACTAAGGATACCTCCGTATAAGGATAATCCTTAGTTTTTTAGGTCCTAAATTTTTTTTGGCACCTGAAATACCCTTACTTATATCCTTATAAGTTTTTTGATCCTCGGAAATTTAGTAATTCTATATAAAGTCTCTATATTTTTAAGTATAAAACTAGCACTTAGTAATAAGAATTAGTAGATTAGTAGCCTTATATATGAATTAGTAAGTACTATATTATATATTCTTAACACTTAAATAAATAATCGTGTCGTCGCCTATGCTAAGACCCTCGTTATAAGGATAACCTCGGTTATATCCTTACGAAACTTGCCCCCACGAATATCCTTATATCCAGGTTTATCTGTATATTGTATTGTACCGTAGTATAGATCGGTTAATCCGGTACAAAGAAATAACCTTGATGTAAATGATACTGTTTTCCCATCTCACTCAAAGTAGAAGTGGACCGGGAAACTTGAGTGACTCTAGTACTTTACGAGAAGTGACAGCTTGCTGTTGCTTGTGCGGTTACAGCCTGCAACCATCACGCCAGCAATAGTCTGTGGGTCAAAAATAGAAATCATCCATTACGAACGCGCTGAGATAAAATTACGTGAAACGCAAGGGGAAATCCCATATTGCACCCACATTCTTCGGGTTTTCTATCATTTTTTCCCTTCGTCTGGAGGTGGTGGATGCGGATGGTGATAGACCCACTTTCTACAGACGCATTGTCCGATACTGCCGCAGCCGCTTTGCGGACAATGCGGCTATTCACAAATCCAAGAAAACATGGACTTGTTAAAGTGGCATGAAATAACATACTTACCAGACCAGCTTTTAGTCCGGACTTGAATCCGATTGAATGTTTGAACACTTCGAATAGAGAGTTTGACTATGGAAGTCCTATGCGAATTACCCTAGATGAAATGCACCTAACTGATCGGGATTATTGTCAATCTGATCAAGTCTTTAGAGGATAGAGCGCTTGAGGCTGAGAGTTGGCATACTGTACTGTGCCGGCCATTAGCCGAAACGATGGGAAGGCTTGTTCCATGCCTGTTTTCACTTTCTTTAGAAATTCTCTTGCTATTCCACAGTCGATCATTATTTTGATCCAATAGAATGCATCCATTTCACTTTAATCCTCGAGTATGCCTCAAATTCATTTAGCAAAAGCACAAAAGATGCATAAAATAAAAATAACAGGGTGGACCTACAACAGCCAAGAGCACTGCCACCCCCGCGAGTTTTTCGGTCCCCTTACCGGTGCTCCATACTGCTTCAAAACCCCGGTTTTTAACGATTTGTAGCTTAAGTGGATTGAATTTTGGTTAAGTAAAGAGGATGAACAGCAAGGGTTGAAACCTTGGCATGTCCATTACGGATTTAACCTAATAGTCGGTGCGTCTATCCTTGAGATCGGCGGAAGCAAGTATAGTGTTTGGGCGGCGTTAATTCGGGACATTGAATTACTAGAAAACCATACCCAAATACATGTACATGTATTAACATCTCTCTTTCCTACCTCTAGATATTCTAATTACTACATTGCGCTATTGGAATCTTTTAATTACGAGAGTATGGTCTTGAGTAACTTAATTATAACAAACAAAGACTTTACAGGCCTTGGAAAGAACTATATAGAGGTAAAATATATTAGTATTACGAGATATTTGAGAGAAATAGTACAAAATGTGACGTTTTTTATGGATACGGAATGGCTCTGCGAAATCTCCTCGTAATTAGTTAGATTCATAAATTACGTTATAGAATTATAAAACAATGGCCTTCATTTGGGCCCATGTAGAAACTTATAGCTCAGATACTAACTATAGCAGAACAAGCTTTTCACCCAGATGCTATACTTGCTCCCGCCGATTTTAAGCCATAGCGCAGAGGAAGGGCGCTCCGACAATTACGTGGGATTTCCGCATGGTTCCGGATAACCCAGGTTACCGCACCAAGTATAAGATAGAAGCCTCGCCGATGACTTCACATTCCTTCCTCACCCCTTCACCTTCTCACTACCGCCTTTCCTTGTTCTTCTTTCTTCCTCTTTCTTTCTTTACTTCTTTCTTTTGGTTTTTTTCTCATCTCATTACCAACACCACATTCGCTACTACATTCGTTATACATTACTCGATGACCAAGGACTCAACTTCTCGATGTTGATTCCCAACGTCTTCGTCGCTGCGGCGGCTCTTTCCACCTTGGTTGCCGGAATCCCTCTTCGTCCAAATCAGCTCTTAGAAAGAACAGCATCATCAAACATAGCAACCGAAGTTGATCAAGAAGCTCTTTCACTTTCAAGGAGACTACCAGACAATAAGCAAGCAAGCGAAGAGAATCTTTCAAAGAGGGCCACCTCAGCACCATTGGGGGGTGTAATCAAACCACTCCTTGACCCCAAAAAACCTTCGGTCCCGAAGCCCGCGCCAAAACCAAAGCCTGCACCGGCAAAGCCACTCTACCCCGGTCTAGTACTTCCAGGACCAGGAAGTTTCCGAATCGATGCCTGGCATCCACCAAAGAAATGGTATGAACTAGGCGGCCCAAGGCCAAGGCACCCAGCTAGATTAGCCAGAGGCCTACGATCCAAGGTGGACAAGCGGAAATCAGCCGGCAAATTTATTCGAAAGTGGGACGATGATTCAAGCGGAGAGACTCTTCCAAAGAAACCATCTGCCATACTCTCTCGCGAGGCTGAACCGAAAAAGAGGGGGCTTCCAGGCGGCAAGGATTGGGTCACCGAGATCAAAAATATGCCACCGTTCGACCCAAAGAAATACCAAAAGAAACCTGCTCCGAAGCCTGCTCCAAAGCCTGCTCCAAGGAAGCCTTACGACAGAAAAGAGCTTTTCGAAAAAACTTCTAAATACCCTATTCCCAAGGCACAAAAGCCCCCAGACCCATGGGATTTCCGCAAGATGAAGAAGAAGAACAAGAAGGCTCCGGGAGTTGGGTTGGGATTGCCAGATACCGCGCCAGCTTTGCATTAGAGGAGGGAACTAGGAATAGAGGTTGTGGGGGCGTTTGGAGCGATTGTGGAAAAGTGTAACGAGATAGTAATGGATTTTACCTTGAAATAGAATGAAATTGCTTACAACTATCTTTTCCCCCCCCTGAGTGTGCGCATTTGAAACTGTAACTTGAACCTGGACTTAAGCGAATGGATAGGACAGGGACCTCTCGTTGGTAAAGGGTCTGGACAGCTCGGGTCTCCCCCCCCTTGTCACTTTCTGATATACCTCCACATGAATCGGACAATTCAATTGGCTTAGAGGGCTATATTGTGGAGTTATACCCTGCCTATAACAACTCATATACAGGGGGGGAGACCTGAGCTGTCCAGACCCTTTACTTCTTCACAGGCAAAATAAATATAGGGTTTTCGGGGGGTTTTACCCTGTTGCCGACCTTAGCTACACTAGTAAACCTAAACATTTCGCCTAGGACGAAGTAGAACTGGGTTCCGAGCATTTGAGCCTCAATTTAACCCAGCCGTATATTTACTTCTAGCTCAAATGAACACCAATATTATAAAACACGATTTTACACCTCAAGCAAAACCATATAGTCATCCTACAGACGCACTTTGAGTATACATTTCTTTTGCTCCCTTTATCGTTTAGAAGGGATATACACTTCAGCCTACATCTTCGATCATTTCATCATTCAATGTCACAACTTATTCTCCCACCACAAGACTACTGCCATCTAAACACTCTTTCTCGTAAAAAGAATATAAAGAATATAAAGAATATAAAGAATTTACATCCTAGGGTTTAATGATTAGTCACATCTTTCTTACAAAATACATACTATTTTCTCTCTTCGTACTAGTGCCAGCCACATACAATACCGCGTAATATAGCCAATCGACCCATCTTTCTACCTAATTATACCTTACTTTACATCAAAGGGTCAGGGTCCTCTTATTTCTATCTTATAATAAGCTTTTAGAATTACATGGTTTTCTTTCCCACTCTTGCTATACATGTAGCGGACTAGGAATTGCGAGCAAGGTCTTTTTGATTGCAGATAGAGAGCCAAGGGCTCTTTACATATAAAGCTGGGTGTACTCAGTATGAATACCCGTTATAGTACTCGGCTAGGTAGCTAGACGAGCTAGCAATTAACCCCTTGAGAACAATGTCGTTATACTTCCCCCGTAGCTTAAACCGACGAAAAATGAAAACTGTCTTTGACTTTTATAGATTGATCAAAGAACAAAAATAGATACACAAAAAAACCACCCACTGCCCAACCACCAACAACACGGTAAAACCCCCAAACTCACAAAACCCCAGTCCAATCCTGAGTCGCAGGCTTCAAATTCGCCGCGCCCATGAGAGTCTTGAAATCCGCTCGCTTACTCGTGATACCCACCTCAAACGCTTCATTAGGCGTGCTGGATAGACCGCTATGACAGCATTCGCCGCTGCAGCTCTCATCGATGGATTTGCCGGGGATGATTTGCCGGGGATGATTTGCCAGTACATCTGTTTCTCGTCAGTACATCTCTACATTGATACAATAAGGAATGGGAATGGAAGGGGTGAAGTGGTAAACATACCCAAGGTACACCAGCATCGGTAAAGACAGCGGCCTGTTTAGCAACACTATCATACGACGAGTCGGATCCTACACCCCACTCCTCGACAAAGACCAACTTCCCCTTCTGCGCGGCTTTGTTGGATAGCTCGGGCATGTAGGGTGCCCATTGGGAGGCTTGGGTCATGTACCCGTGGATGGCGATTAAGTCGATGGCCTGGCAGTTGAGAGCTTTATCGATGAGATTCAGTTCGTGACCTGAGTACTCTGAGCCCCCGAGACCACCGGTTGAAATTTTCACGCTCTGAAAGGGTAAGGTTAGTTCTTACATAAAGAGAATGAATTTAGAAGAACAAAACTTACCGAGTTTGCCATGACTTTGCGCATATTCCCAGCACGACCACAGATCCAATCATCCGGATCATTATTCTGCAACTTCTCTTTCGACGCAATCATTGGCTCATTCTGGATGTCAAAAGCTAGAATCACTTCTGAGGGATCTTTCCATGCTTTGCCACCAAAGGCCTTACTCTTGTAATTCAAGATACTGGCAAGGCGGTTATCATACTGTCCCTTCGCAGTAACACTACTGTAAAAGTTATCCGATGACTGTAGGTCGAGCCATAGATATCGATGCCATTGTACCCTTTGTCGGCCCCCGCAGGAGGGAGGAGGTTAGCATCGTGCGGGGAGATGATGGCTTTGATGTCCGCATCGTGGAGCTGCTTGAGGACTTTGTCGAGGGCGTCGAGAGTTTCGGGGACGTATGTTCCTATGGTTGTCTCGTACTGGGGGACATTGAAGGTTTTTGAGGACTTTGCACGGCCGTCTGATGTACCGGTGACTGAGAGGGTGTGTTAGAATTGAGTTGTCTATGGATAAGGTTTTCAAAAGTACGAACCCCACAATCTGATGACTTTCGTTTCGAAGCCTTTGAGTGCATTGATGTACGAAGTCTGTTCTTCAGCCGATAGACCATGAATATAGTAATTGTTTGTTCCGGCCCAAGATGTGGAACCTCTTCGTTCGATAACAGAAGCATTTAGACACAAGCCACCAAGGCCGAGAACGAGGCTAAGGGACAACTTCATGATAATGATTGTAAAGTACTTGTTGCAAATGAAAATGAGTTTCTCCAAGATGAAAGAGTGATGTGAGGTGGATGAGAAGAGTCAATCGTCGATTTTGAGGGCTCCTACTTATAACACTTAGTTAGAGCCTGATAATTGAGCCGCTACATTCAAAATCGACATCCTCGGCTTACTAGCGAACAGCCCTTCAAAGGAGAAAAGGAATCAAGATTCTAGAAGGAGTAAAAGGATTCCATAAGCAGGCACTTGACGGAGCTAGCATCTCCATCGGGCAACCAGATGATCCTTTAGGATGGAGACCTTTCAGCCGCATCGATGAGCCCTACCACAACCACTCTTCCTTCGTATAAAAAGAAAGCTTAGTGTGACGTAAGTCTAAAACGGAATGAGTTCGTTTCAAGAATAACGTCTCAATTATGAGGGAAGATGTTGTAGGGACAGGATAGTGAGAAGTCATCCCCGCTCATTCTATTTCCCCGCCTTACTCAGCCCCGTCGTCTAATCCTCTTTGCTGCAGACCTTAGCAGGGGAGAAGCGTATACAAGGGGACTGACAGTGAGATCTGCGATGGATGAGTAGACTAACCCTAGAAAAGAAGGTAGATGTAAAAAGCAATACGAAATGAGGGGAAGGAAATGTAGAAGCAGAATGTGGATGCAAAATACAGCAGTGAGATGTTAATTTTATGTAACGTATTTGTAGACACCTGGTTAATACTCTGTACACACGAAAAGAAGTTATTATACTAAACGTTTAGTACAAGTAACTCAATTATCTTAATATACGTAAGCTAATTGAAAATACAAAGTCATAATTATTCTAAGCCATATATAACACTATTGCTTTTATTATACGAAGCTTTTGGACTACTGTTATTTTAAACTAGGTGTATAGAATATTAACTACGTATTCGTATAATCGTATTGTAAGTGAACATTAATATAGAAATTTGACTAGAAAGCGATTACTAAGTGGCGTAACGTATCTAGAGGTAATCTTATTTCTGATTCGAGATCATAATTTGAAACTTGGTAATAAGGGTGGCTCGTATATGCAAGTACAGCCTCCATTTCGGCATGTAGCTTTGGCCGAGGCTCTTTCAATGGGGAACATCATGTTTTCAAATCACAAAATGGTGGGGATGGAAAAGAGGGGTTCACTGTGGAATCGGGATCCAATCCTAGGTTTGGAGATTCAGATTTCCTCTTTATACAGACCCTCGAAATTGATCCAAGAATTGCCGGCCCAAGGTTCTCCTTCTCCCCCCTTCTCCAGCTAGTATACCATCTGATCCTGTGGCAGCTCCACTGGCGTTTTCACTTTCCAGACGTCTTCTTAAAATCTCAAAATCCTCCTCTCTCTTTTTCGTCTGAATTCCCACCATCCATCCGGGTATTCTCCAACGCATCACGGAATTTGGCAGCACTTCGTTCCTCCAGAAATAGCCCACTATCCAGCCTACCGAGGCACAAAGTAAAGATCCTGGAAACTGTGACAATGCCAATTGAACAGCAGGAAGGTAGGTGTAAGACTTATCCGAGAAAGTGAGGCCAACAAATGGCTCATTGGTCGGAGGTGCCGAGGATGCAGCAATTCGATACTTGTATATGTGAGGGATCATGGCATGAAATTGTGCCAGAATCGCGAAAATCAGGGGTGTTGGTCCTGCTGGTAGGTAATTCAATTTGTTAAAGGAAAGGGGCCGAAGCACGAGTGCCAGGAGAAGTGGTGGTAATACTGCTGTCAGGCAGTAACTGAGGATTATAAAGGACTAATACAGGGGCAGCGTTAGCGATGACCGGATGAGAGAAAAGGGGGAGCAATTCCTACAGCATATTTCCGGGAGCCCCAGACTCTTTCTATCACGCGCATGTTATATAGGGTCATGGCAGCAAAGAGAACCTCGGTGGAATTGGTGTAACAGAGTTGATATGCGATGACGCGCCATAGTTGGCGATATTGCCAGAAATGAGGGTCAACCTGGATGTAAAAGTAGTGTTTGGCATCGAGAACACTGGCGAGGATCGAGGCTGCGACTATGCCATAGGTAAGGCTGCGGGAGACGGGAGCTCCTGCGAAGCCGGAAGAGAGCATCGCGACCGGAGTGGGGGTGGAAATGGAGATGCGGTGGATGGTCGAGACGGAAAGGAAAAGATGCGAGAGGTCTTGTCGGAGAAATGTTATCGACTCATAGCTTTTTATGAGGGTGAATCGCACTCGAGATGTAGTGAGCGTGAAGGTAAATTTTGACGGTGATATTCGGCGGATGGTGTTGTTAGAGACCTGGGGTACGGGGGTAGAGGAGAGGCCAGATTTGGTCGGCATCAGCCTTCTCTCCGATGAGAGGGACCCCCCTGCAGCGACAGTGACGTGCAGACGAGGCTCAGCTTTCTTGCGTAACAAGGGACCTGTCACTGTACTCGTACATCGCGAGCTCAGCCCAGTTGTCGCGAAGTGAATACCAACGCAACTTTCTCTTCTTTCCTTCCTACACTCCTCGATACACTCATTCAAAATATTTCCACGCAGCAGTTCGTCGACACCAACTCATGCCTCCCTCGTGATCACAACCACAACCACTTAATCTTAGTACCAGCCGCGAACAACACTGCCAACCATAATGTCGTCGATGCACCTCTCACAACTGCGGAAATGGATGTTGGAATCGCCACCGGTCGAATGGGGTTTGCAGAGGTTGCGACAGATTCTTATTGGTGCTCTACGGCAAGGGCGCATACCAAAACATATTGCATTTGTGATGGATGGGAATAGAAGATTTGCCAGAAGTCACCAGATAGAAACAGTAGAAGGACACAACTTGGGATTCGAAGCTCTGGCAAGGGTGCGCACTGCTCCCCTCCCTTGCGAACTGCTTGATACTAATCGGTCCAACTTAGATCTTGGAAGTATGTTACAAATCCGGCGTCAAGGTAGTCACTGTCTACGCCTTTAGTATTGAGAACTTCAAACGATCAAAATATGAGGTGGACGCTCTGATGGAAATGGCAAAGATCAAACTCAACCAGCTGTCACAACATGGCCAACTGCTTGAGAGATATGGTGCTTGTATACGTGTCTTGGGGCAGAGAGATTTGGTCAAGCCAGATGTGTTGAAGGCCGTTGATCGGGCTGTGGAGTTGACAAAAAACAATGGAGAGTCAGTTGCTCAAAGCCTGCATAACATGTCGATTTCTAACCGAGCTACAGTTGTTTTTTGAATATTTGCTTTCCCTATACCTCCCGGGAGGAAATCACAACCGCTATCAAGACCACGGTGGAAGACTATTCCAAACCTATGTCTACTCAACCACCGCCATTTTCTCAAACCACCATCTCACAAAAGATTGAATCAAGGGATCTCAGCACCTCTCCACTTCGTGCAACTTCTCCCACGCCTTCAAATACTTCCGATATTGATGGATCGGTATCATCCACTACCACTCTGAACTTAGACTCCCCCAATGGTGGACGAGAAGGATCGATGTATCCCGACCCAGAAACGATTACATCGGAAACGATTGAGGATCGTCTCCTCACCGCTGGGGATCCCCCTCTAGATTTACTGATCAGGACCAGCGGCGTGAAGAGGCTAAGTGATTTTATGCTTTGGCAGTGTCACGAAGGAACAGAGCTTGTCTTTTTAGATTGCTTATGGCCAGACTTTGATCTTTGGCAGTTTTTGCCAGTGCTTCTGGAGTGGCAGTGGAAACAGAAATATATCGAGGAAAAGGTGCCGACGACGGGCACGGATAAAGTAAAGCTGCGGTAGCCGATCAGTTGAAGCTACCTTCACGTTAAATTTGGTGACAGAAAGTGGTTAGAATTTCCTGTGTAGCGAGCGACTTTGTATGACCTACGAGTAGATAGAACTGGAGGGAGTTTCTGGGGACCTCGGCGTTTGATTTTCGACCTAGCTCCGGTCCCTCTGCCTATGAGATACGAGTACTGTAGACTTCACTCATAATCAGTTGTCAAAGTGAATGGCATCCAAACACACACAAAAAAATGATTCACGCAAGCCTAGCCAAATCACATACAGATCTCTACAATACTCCTATCCAAAAGTCAACCAGCTGCAGCAAAGAGAGTAAATATTTACAACGATCACGTGATGGCACCGATAAGCCACTCCAGCGGCTCGGGCACTTTGGCGTCAAACCGAACCCCCGTCACTTGTCCCCATGACGGAAATCTATACTCCCATTCTGGGTTCAGCCATCATCTTTCACTGCCCTCTACCTAAGCTTCCCACAACATTTCTATGACCAGTTTAGGCTCCCTCACGACGACGCTCAATGGACCTCAGAGGCTAGTTCTTCTACCCTGACCGATCCATCTCTGCAACACATTTCTGTCGTGCGCGTTCTGCCCCAAAACCCCCCCTCAACGCCTGCCACAGCTTCACAACACCACCACAGCTCGACACCATGAAGACAGCAAAAGCCGTTCCCTCCGACCTCTCCTCGAGCCGCCGGGCGCAACCCGTGCGGCAGACACGAGTCAATCCTCCACGATCCTCAATCCCATCTTCGAGAGCTTTTGGGCCGCGAGGTCCCCTCAACAGTGGATTGGAGGAAAGGGAAATCGAAATCTTCCCAGCGATAACACATTTTGCCGATGCCATAACCGCCCTTCCCAAGGAGCTTATGCGACACTTCACACTGCTCAAGGAAGTCGATGCGAAGATTTTTGGACCCGAAGAGGACCTGGGAACGCTGGTTAACGCTGCGCTGAACACTCCTCTGCCAGAAAGGAGACCTCAGGTCGACACACAACCCCATGGACCAGCATCGACAACTATGAGTGCCCAGGGTAGCACCAATGGCTCGATAGTCAATGGCCATCCTGCATCCGTGGCATTGGTCCCGGATGCTGATGTGTCGAACTTTGCGACGATGGCGTACGAGCCCGCCAACATCCCCCGTCGACAAATCTTCCAGCACTGTGCATATACGATGCAAAACATGCTGGTTTCCCTCGAAGAGAAAAACCACGTTTTATCTTCGGCGACAGAAGCGCTGAACAAGCAACTGGCTCGAATCGACGATTGCTTCCCTTACATCGAACTCGAAATCAGTGAGGAGGCGCGAAATGGTAGTACTACACATTGGGCATATCCAGAGAATCGATTAGGGAGATCTTCCGCGGCCAATTCATCACGACGAGATGTTGCGCCGGTCAATACCTTGTCTGCGGCAGCCCAAGCGCTAGCAGATGAAGCGGCTCAGAGAAGTGAGGCAAGGAAACAGGCCCTGCTAGACAAGAAGAAGAATCACAACAAGCCCCAAGCCGAATCTGACTTTGATGATCACCACGAGAGTAGACCCAAAGAGAAAAAAGTTCACGGGAACAGCAAGGTTCGAAAAGCAGCAGAGACGCCATCAACTGTTGGGCTAGGTATCACAAATGGTACAACAACAAATGGACATGCGCCAAAACGCCGGAAAGTTGAGAAGGGCCCTGCTGGAGGTGTGGTGATGGAGAGAGCCTTGAGTGGAGTTTTAGGCACAAATGGTACAACGACCAAGGGCAAGGTTGCTAGCCCAAGAGAAACTCCAGGACCAGATGGCCCAAAAAAGAAGCCGAGAGGAACGGCTGCGGCAAATGGGCAGCCCAGAAAAAGGTAAGTTTGGGAAATTCGGCTCTGGATCATCTCCCTAATAGATCTTAGAAACAATACGGTAACAACAGCAATGTCACCGTCCCTCGCGTCCTCTCCCGTCCGAAGTGCCTTCCCAGACCCGAAAACTACAGGAAGAGCAACTCCACCGCCGACCAACGGTGCCCGGCCGGCAACATCGCGAGTAAGACAGAATTCTATACACTCTTTGGCGGAAACTGCTCGAACAAGGCAGGAGTCGGTGCCATTAAACAAGCCAAACGGAAACTCGACGATTGTTCCAGAGGTTGCCGTTACGTCGACTACCAACGGCCGAATTATACCTGAGGTAAAACCTGTCACCAAAGAAGTTCATTCCAAACCAGAACCTGTGGTTGAAGAGGTTGAAAAGAATGGAGCTGTGGAGCCAGAGAGGATCATTCCCGGTACTCGCAGAGATAGTGTACCTGAGCGGGAGGAACCAGAAGTGAATGGAGGAGCTGTTCAGTCTTTACTGATAGCAACAGTGGTTACGACAAAAAGTGGTCGAGCCAGCAAGCCGTCGACTCCAGCAATGCCATCATTCCCTGACCCTCCACGATCACGGTCTTCCCGTACTGCTCTAGACGCTACATCAAATAAGAGAAGCCATAAGAAAGGAGCCGGTGCAGCAGCGCAACTTATTGCGCAACAAAATATGGAAATGGACGATACCTACGGTGTTATACGAGATGAAGAGGAAGAAGAAGAGGAAATTGGGGCGGATGAGCCTACTTATTGTTATTGTAATGGAGTGAGTTATGGTGAAATGGTAGCATGCGACGCGAATGCATGCGCCAAAGAGTGGTTCCATCTCGAGTGTGCTGGGTTAAAGGTTGCACCCAAAGGTAATGGTAAGCTTGCTTCAGGAACTTTCCATGACCATTGCTAATTTTGATAACAGCGAAATGGTATTGCAATGAATGCAAGGAGAGAATGAAACCAAAACGTTTTAACAGCCGATAACGAACATAGAATTGACCATCCGTAGTGTATTTTGGAAGTAACGGTATACCTATATGGGTTGTTGGCGTCAGGTGTCCTATCATTCATTTGGGGGGAGTCAAATAGGCCGCTAGTATAAAAGGATCAAGTGATTGGTATGGTGGGTTGGGTTATCTTGAGTGATAAAAAACTAGGTCCTGGATATAAGGAGAAAGAGGTGGTTTTCCGGTGTTTTTTTCTTCTTCAGAATTATTCTCCATACAGGGAGTACGTGTTATTTGGGATCTTCATTTCCGGGATTCTTCACCTCGCTGGAACGAAGCGAGTGACGGCCTAAGGCTAAGGGTAGGTAGGCTGGGAATCGGTGTGCTTGCGATGATCAAAATATAGAGTTTTTGGGTTTTGTTGTTGGTAGTTGTTGTTTATAGGGATGGATGTTATGTTGTTGGACCTAGATGCAAATACTTTAATTTCAAACATTGTTAATTGCCCTGGCCTTGGTAGTGGAGAGTGGAGTGGAGTGTATGTGGGTAAGTCAGTGAAATGACGACGAGAAGGGAAACTCGTCCCAAGTAACCGCTCAAGTTGTCATTGAAGAATTCCGGGGATTTGGTGGTGGTAGGAGAGGTACAGAAAGATTCTTCGAGTCTTCGACGGGAACGGGGACTCGGGATTGTTTAGGTCAGGTGCTTTGAAATTTGGAAATTGGATGGGTTTGTAATGTACTGGCATGGCCTGTCCCGTTCTGTGATACGGTACTTGAGTGCCCGTATCAGCCGTATAGCTGTACTGTACCGATTTGGTGGTATTGTAGTCACTCGAGGTAGCCATGTGACACCTTCCAATTACTCTGACTGATTATTTATTCTCCATTCTATGCAGAAATAAAGGAATCCCGACTTGGAATCTCCAAGATACCCCCTCTAATTTTGGATGTGGAGAATTATTGGGAATGCATGGCAGAGAAGGGCTTTGGGGATTGCTTGATTGTGTGATGAATTGATGGGTTGATGGGTTTACTTGATGTGGACTTGTGTTGGGCGGGAGAGATGGGATGGAGATGGAGATGTGGACGCACACTTGGGCGCATACCGTACGGACAAGAGGAAGAAAGGAATATGGAGATACGCACACTTGGGCGTATACTCGTAGAGTAAGTTTATAGAGAGAAAAACCTGAAAGTGAGATGTTATATTCGCTTCATTTTTCTTTTCTTTTCTTTTTCTTCTTTTCTCGCCCGTCTTATTTTCCAGGCATACCACCTAGTGCTCGCCCGTCTCGAATATTCTCGTCATCCTCCCTCTTCTATATAAGAGCACTTCTCAGCACTACTGTAGCCGGGCAACTTTGCCCAGACCGCTCTTGTTGTCTGGCTTTGATTTTTTGATGAAGGACTCCCGTCCGTACAGTAATTGGAGACTCGAAAGCTTTATTAAAGTTTAGCTTTTGCCTTTTGGCTGGTGCACCCCCACGGGACGTAGACGACGATCTAAAAAATCCGGGGAGCCGGCGCTAAGCAGGTATGTCATAATGTCGCTAGACTCGTTTCATGCGATATCGGCTGTCATTTCCCTTGGGAAACGTTGGTGGTGTTGTTCGGTCTGTTGCCCCTGAGGAAAAGCGTCACGATGTCACGATGCACGTTTTCTCCAGTGGTCTGTGGCGTCTGCTTTTGGCTCCCCATCTCTCTTGGGAATCTGTATCCACTCTCGTATCCGTTGGAGGGAGGTTTGTGCTGACCCAGCACCCCAGATGCAGATGCGAGGCTTGTTTGTTGATGAGGTAATGCATAGCCAATGGCGCCGCGAGATGCCGTAATAAGAATCCAATTCCCTTCCTCGCGGTGGTGCTCCCATCTCATCTCCATTCATCTGGCTGTTTGTTGATTGGAAATTGCCAAGCGGATTTCTGCGCCCGCCTCATGTTGTGATCACGAGTTTGATCTGGCTTCTCCGTTACAACTCCGGCGCAGGTCCAGGTGGTTGGGAAATGAAAAGAACAAGCCATCAACTTCCTTTTCTCTTTGTCCCCGCTGGAGATGGACCCTTTTGGAGAATGTGAACGTGGTCAACCTGTGCCTGTGCCTCGTGCGATGCTATCTATGCAAGCCGAATCCCGGCGTCGAGAGAAAACTGTACCTGTATTGCAGAAAAGAAAAGAGGACAAAAAAAGAAAATTCTCCATTCTATTACTCATATTTTGGCCTCGTTGGGGCTCTTTGCCTTTCCGTTGAAATGGACAATTTAAACTCAAACTCACGGCAACTACCTAGTTATTCCTTTCCCGTCGTGCCTTGTTAAAAACATATCACCCTCTTCTACCTTCCATCGAAGTTTACCTAAAAAGGTAAAGTCGTCTAATCTTACTTCGTCATCAAAATTTGCATTTGTGTCTACACTTTGTGTGCATCGAGGTTACTTCTTACCTCATATCCAACCGCTTGTGCACATCTCTTCTATCCCATCCAACCTTGAAACCCAACCGAGCCTCTTCTCCGCATTGCCCCATACACCCAAGTTCTTACGACACACCAGACAACGACTTGTACCACCTGTCCAGCAATATCCTTGAGTGTGGCCCTACCAGCAAACTATTATTCATCAATACCCCATAGCCAGTCTGGGGAAATCCGTCGTTTACGAGGTCGTTGCTTCCCCGCATAAGGGCAACAGTTTCCTTGACTAACATCAGGGGGCTCGAGAGGAATTCGTGACAAAGAGTTTGGTTCCCGAGTGAGCGAGTGCACCCCAGATCTGCCCAACAAGTACGTACGGATTGGGAACATCTGGATATTGGGACTTTCGAAATACCCCTTGCATCTTGTCTCATCTCCTCCTCCCTTGCATCTGGTGGGTTGAGGTTGCACTACTAAAACTCATTCACTCCTCTATTTGACGCCCAGGTGGCTTGGAGAAATAATCAAACCCAGGTCACTTTGCTCCGCATCTATCATTGAAAAATCAAGTATAAAGACATTCGCTCTCGTCCTTTTCAAGCAAGATTCTTTCGCGAAAAAAAAAGGAAAGGGATCCCCCCCGTACAATAATAAAGTCCCATTCACATATACGCCTTTCTATGATGGCGTCTCTTCCCGCCAACCAGCGTCTGGTGAAGGCCAACGCGTCTACCGCTACAACACCTCTCTCTACCAACACCCAACCTTCCCACGATCATATTTACACCAAACGAAAGCCATCAATTGTGTCCACCTCCAACATGGATCGAGCCGACAGAACCAGCTTCTCTTCTATCAAAGAAGGAGTTGGTGGAATTGGTCAAACCTTCACCACTACCAAGACGTCCAGCTATCTGAGCCGAGTATACGACGCCAGTTCAGACGACGAGGAAGCCATTCAAGACGGTTTTATCACTCCACCAGAAGGAATGCCAGGCCTTCAGATGGAACGTCAACAACATGCGCAACCTCGACTTCTTCACTCCTTTGTCTGTCCTTGCGATGGATTCCAAGGATGGAAGGGTATCAGTCTCAAAGGAAAGAGAGCAAGTAAAAGTCATGAAGACTTGAGAGCACTAGGTCATCGATGGGGTTGGGAAAGCACGACAACTTCCGCTGAAATGGCATCAATGACCCCCAACATCATTGAGGATGTGCCAGTCAAAATCCATGGCCAGTACCCTTCTGGCCAAGCTCCTATTGAGAGCTTACCTGCCGAATTGCTCAGTGAGTACCCATTTAGTTCCCTTTTAAAAAAGATTTGCGACTTCTCACGTCTAGATTTTCTCTCGGTTGAAAATTTAAAATCATACTGTCCTATTTTGCCACAACGTGTGGTCACATGACAGTCGTGAGCTTCAATATCTTTTTAGATCTATGCTTCTCTAAACAGGTACTAACTATTACAGGTGCTGTCATTGACCAACTGGCCATTGATATCCCTCCGAGTGGATTTACGGCAAGAAACGTCGATTTGATGTCTCTCTTGCTGACATCACGAGCCATGCATTCCGCAACCCTGGCCACTTTGTATAACAACATCACCATTCCACACTCTCGAATCTTTCGCAAGTTTCTTTCTCACATCGCTGAGCATTCGGCCTTGGGAACGATTGTACGACGACTTGACTTCTCTCACTTCAACCCCACTGGTGCTGGCATGACAGCAAGGGAGCGCGCTCAAACATTGAATCTAATTCCAGCCACTATGCTTCAATGTCTAAAGCTCACCCCAAACTTGCGAGAGTTTTTAGCCCAAGAGCACATCGATGATGATCTAGATGCTAATGTCATCAAAACTCTCTTATGTGACCTTCCAAAACTAAATGCACTTGATTTTTGTGCATGCTCCTCCAGCCAGTTCAAGGAAGCTTTCACTTCCGTTATCGAAGCTCAGCCTTGTCCTCTTCCTGAAGCTCTGCCAATCACGAGACTCAGTCTTCATGAATGTGCCGTTCTACCTTCGTCACTCTACTCGATTCTTCTCCCACGTCTCCCTCATCTCACTCATCTTGATGTTGCTCATACACGCATCACAGATAGTGCACTCGCCTCGATCCCATTGACCGCGAGATTGACTCACTTGAACTTGAGCAAATGTTCCTTCCTCTCTGGAAACGCAGTTGTTGATTTTTTGACCAATCACCCTGCGGCGAAAACTCTTCGATATCTCAACTTGGGAATGGACTCCAAGTCGAATGAAATGCTTAGCAGTGAAAACATTACCGCTCTCCTGCCCGTGCTCCCGATAACCTTGAGATCTCTCAGTCTCAAGGGAAGTAAAATGGAGGCATCACACCTGCCTCTTATTCTTCCCTTGACCAAGCATGTTCAAGAGTTAGGACTCGGAAGAAACTTGGACCTTCAAGATCTGTGTCGTCTGTTCATTCCAGACGATAACTTGAACCTCGATGAGCAAATGGCCTGGACCCCCCACACCATGCGCTACCTCGATGTTTCTGATCTGACTATGGCCCAACTCGATCTCGGAACATTGTTAGGAAGTCGATTTCCCATCTTGAAGAGCACGGCATCCCCACTGGAGGTTATCGAATTGAGTTCAGACCATTTCAAGAGATTGGAGAAGAGCCCGGCTGTCAAACGAGCGGGGTGGACTTTGACGGACGCTGGGAGACGCTATTGGTTGGTTCGAATCAAGAGTGTCGAAGAGCAGGCTGATAGTGGTGCACGCGAGTGGAAGTGGGGAGCTTGTTATTGGGGTATGCGGAAGATACCTGTGGCAAGAGCAGAGGTTGGCGGGATGTATGGACATTATATGTTCAAACGATGAGCACCATCACTCTCCTTCGACTCTCAGCCATGGTCGACAAACCTTTTCAGTGGTTGGTTGTCAAGCCGTTTTGCGACTGGCGAATGACATTCAAAACGCCCTTTTTCGCTCTCGATTCCTGGATCTTCTCAGCATAGCAAGCACGGCGTTTTTTGGTTTCCTTGGTTCCTTTGGTTTTATACTTGCGTAGCATGAGATGGCGCGTTTTTTCCTCTGGGTTTCCTGTACCAACGTTTACGAGCGAAAGAGAAAATACCCTGATACGACCAATTGGCGGAAAATTGTATGCATCAAGAAGTTTTTATTCTGGAGGAGGATAACTTCAAAAAATGGCGAGTTTTTGGCGGATCTAATCAAAGTTTTTCCCTATGAAGAGGGACGGGATGGAAGAGGAAACTTGTAAATAAGATGATGCATGCGGTGGCATGGGTGATTGGTGATGATAAGTACCTAGGTAGTCAATTAAATAAGTTGTATATTCTATCTTGGGAAGTAAGGAGCCTGACGAACATGAATGAAATGTGTAATGGGTTGTTGGAGGTATGGTGGGTACGATTGTTTATACTTAGTACCTAGTACAAGTGTGGTAAATTTACGTTGTACAGAGACGGAGTAACCAGTCCAGTCTGTACCTAGACCAGCTGAAATGCGGGGGCTTAGCTTCTGGTGGGGACCTTCGTCATTGGTCGAAGCTTGGTTAGTACCCTGCGATACCATGCGGCGATCCCCACTGCCCTGAATCGCATGGCATTAGCGCTGTAGTGTAGCTCGCGTGGGTAGCTCGGCTAAGCTAGCTTGCCTTGCTGGGTACGAGTACCCGACTTTGACTTCGAGACTTCGAGACTTCGCATCTGTCCCACTTGTACACGCGACAACACAACACATCTTGACCAACTTTCTCTCGCGCTCCTTTTTTTCCGCAGACGTACTCGAATTTGTACTTTGTCAACTCGAATTTTCCTTGATTGCTTTACTTTTGGTTGTTTCAATTCCTCTTTTAGAGACGAGAAGATTTTAGAGAGAGGAAGAGAGATATTTAAAAGGAAGGATAGCAAAACAACGCAACAATGTCCTCCCACGTCGCAATGGGGGATATGACCTCTCCGCGCGGTACCTTACCCCTTCTCCCCTCCTACCCATTCTCCTCTTCCGACCACACCCTAACACCTCCAGCATTCAACCACTCCCAATCCGAAGCCACCGAACGGGAATACGACCGTCTCCGGGACCTCGCACGCGCCGAAGCCAACAAGAAAAACTGGGAAGCCATGAAAGCATATAACAAACAAGCGTCGGATTTCATCTTCCGAGAGAATAATGCGAATGGCCGGGTGCCGGATGATACGATTGATCTGCATGGGCAGTTTGTGAAGGAGGCGGAGCAGATTGTTAGGCAGAGGATCGTGTATGCGAAGAGGCAGGGGCAGGGACATTTGCATGTGTGAGTTTTTTGGGGGGGGTTTTCTTGGAGGGGGTTTAGTTTTTAGAGGGGGCAATGGGTGGTGAGGGGAGATGGGGATGGGGGGATGAATGTTAGAGTGGGCGCTGACGAGTTACAGGATCGTTGGCAAGGGAAATCACTCAGTGAACCNTTAGAGGGGGCAATGGGTGGTGAGGGGAGATGGGGATGGGGGGATGAATGTTAGAGTGGGCGCTGACGAGTTACAGGATCGTTGGCAAGGGAAATCACTCAGTGAACCATGTTCAAAAAATCAAACCTGCCGTCGAGGAAGTATGTCGAGAAGAGGGTCTACAATTCGCGACGGAGGCCAATGCTGGGGTTATCTACATCAATCTTCAAGGTGGAGAAGCTATTATGCCTCCTAATGTCGGTCAACACCATGGGAATCAAGGTCAACATCACGGAGGTCAACAACATCATGGCGGTCATCAGCAAGGCGGTTATCCTGGTGGACCTCAATCTGGTGGTTACCCTGGTGCGCCGCAACATGGACAACAGCAGCAAGGCGGGGATGACGAGATGGAGAAGTTGGCGAAGAAGTTGCTGCCCAAGGTTCTGAAGAAGTTGGAGGGGTGTTGTGTTGTTATGTAGAGGTTTTTATACATACGTGGATGGATGATGCATGGATGAGATGATGAATGATGGGAATGAGATTTGGCGCGGTGGATTTATACCCAGCGAGCGGAGTTGCTATCTTGAGCTAGGTCTGCACTACACCGGTGCTGATGATTTGGGGGATTTTGCAATACGGAGATGAAGATTCGAAATTCTTTAATGGGGAGGTGATTTGTATATGAGTTTGGCGTAGAGGGCGTCTTTGTGTATATTGAGCCTTTTTGTTTTACGTGGGGGTTGGAAAGGGGAGGTAGAATAGTAATGGCTTGAATTTACTAATTAATGATATTTTCGGTGTTGGAAGTGTTGGAAGGACGACTTGTTTTTTATGTGGTTTGCAAGCTTAGTACAAGCCTCGGGCTAAGCTACTGTAGCTAGCTTCATGTGAGAGGGGATTTTCTGTATGGGATGTCGCTGTTATGTCTGTTGTTGTGCGTCATGTGTTATCTCTTGGTGCTGTGCTCTGGAGGGAGATACTTAGCTTGTGATCTTTGCTACAGTATTGTTACTCCAGGCTCTTTTCTAGTTACACTGTCCGGACTTTGTTATCAGTAGTATTATATTTTTAGTATCGGGTAATTGAGTGAGGTGTTGTTTTATAGCAAGCACTCATCGCAAGATGGAAATGTTCAATTTGATTCTCCAGGCCTCTGAGGTATAATTTTATTGTTTTTGGTTTTTGGTTTCTTTATGGAATGATGTCTGGAAATAAGCGAGTTGTTTTGGAAGCGGGGGGCAGGGGGGATTCTTAGTGTAAGAGTGTAAGACTTACTGGAGTAAGCCCGTGGAACGAAGTAAAGCGGAAATGAGGGGAATGGAAAGCTTGCTTGCGGTGTATAATGACGTGCGGTTTTGTGAACTACTACAGTTACTCGATTCCTGATCTTGGATTTATGTGAAGATAGGAATAAAATGGTGAAACCATTGTGTCCTCAACTATCATTTCTCAAGTGTTGACTTCAACGCAGGTCCCTCACTAGCCATCGCCTCATCAGGAGTCTCCGAGACCTTGTACACCAGTTTGAAGCCACTCACCGTGCCCTTGGGAAATTCAGCGATTCTGTCGTTCGTTTCGTTAGTGATCATGCATCCCACATTCATCCCAAAGCAACAAATTTTGAATTCGAACATACCCATCAGGAATCCCCGCAAGCCCAAGCGGCCGAAGCGAAACGGGATGAGGCTTGATTTTCCCTTCTGCCAACAGCTTTTGCGTCAATTCCCAAAACATAACACCAAAATTAAAATGTTCTACCATCGGAGGGAAGTCCGTCCCGAACTTTGTGAATGCCTCGCCGAATGTGGTGTATGCGAGGATCACAGTCGGTGTTACGTCTTTCCGCGGCCAGGTATCTACTGGTAGCAAAGAAACCATTTGATTTCTTCCGTGGGATCGGTGGGAAGTGCTTCGGCGCAGAGGTTGAAGCTTTCCGTCGTGCAGACGGTGTCGAAGACGTATCGCAGCGAATTGTGAGTGTACTCTCGGATCTTTTGCCCGCATGCTGGGTCGTGGTAGTCGAAGACTGTATCTGCACCTCGGGACTTGACGAGGTCGAAGTGTTTTGGGCTCGCGGTTGCGAGGACTGTTAGGCCTGATCTGTTGCAGTATTAACCTCTGATTAGATTAAGGACGAAGCAAAGAGGGGAAACCAACAGCTTCGCGTATTGAATGGCAAGCGTCCCCGTAGCCGAGCTTCCCCCCGAGATCAGAATTGGGAAGGGAGCCGGTGTAGGCGCCGTGGGGAGAGGCAGTTGCAAAACCATGTACAAAGCTTGTCCTACCGAGCTCAAGCCCACCCCCAACGTCGCCGCGTTGTCGAAGCTCACGCCTTGCGGGATCTTCGCGATATGTCCATCTTTGACCATGGCATATTCCGCAAACGCGCCGTCCTCGGCGTTGTTCTGTTTAGTTGCTTAACTTGAGTTTTGTTTTTGAATCGCAGTGGTATGTATGGTAACGAAGAAACGAATCGGAAGACTTACGAGATTCGCACAGTGACAGACACCATATACCCAATCCCCCTTCTTCAACTGACTTCTACAATCCTTCCCCGCCTCTTCGACGATCCCTGAGAGATCGAGACCTACAAGTACCATCGTGTTATTCTTACTATACCAAAAACTTGACCAGTCTCCTAGTATCAATTCACATACCTAAAATCCCACCAACCCGTCCAACACCACCCGCATGATGAAAATCAGCTGCGCACGCGTCAATTCCCACACCAGAAACTGGAAGACTTCGGGAAGGAATGTACTTGGATTCACGGCCACTGCTACGGTTTTCACTCTGATATAGTCGGGTCTCATGGTCTGCTCGGGGATCTCCGTGAGAGCTGGTCGGCCGACATCTTGGATGATTACGGCTTTCATTTTGCGGTGGTCTTTGCGGCTTCGGTGATCATTTTTGGAGGTGTTTCTGTGAACGGAGTCGGGAGGTTAGAGAGCAAGTGATGGGAGATGCTAGTGCAAGTTAGGAAGACGTGTTGGTGTAGGTTGGTAAAGAAACTAAGAGAGATGCTCGGAGTGGCTAAGCGAGCGGTTGGTTATGTTGCAAATGGCGAGGCATATGATATAATACATTGTCGGAGGACATGATCCAACCACAAAATCTTCTCAATGAAACGCTTTTATCGTCTGCAAGTGCCTTGCCCCGTAAAAATGTTGGTACCATATTAATTGCCAACAAACGGTTAGTTAGAGGTGGATCCATGGTTCGGTGCTAAGTGTGTTAGTTGTGCATTCATTGGTCCTGTTGTTATCTCGCCACCAAACAAGGCAGGATATTTTCTTTGATCCTTTCGTTTATTGGGATTTGTACATGGTGGGTACGTAGTGTCGTATCCAGGTGGAAAGCCAACATGAACCAACGTTGCTAACACGTGATTTTTGACTGTACCCTGTAGAGAAATGGAGACTAATGATGTGTTTGAGTTTGTAGTATGTGTAGATAAGAGGGTTATACGTACTATATAAAAGGGCTACTTGCGAGGATTTAATCGGTTTTTATTACTAGTTATTTTGCTATATCTTTTTACTTTAATCTTTTTACATAACAAAAGGCTCTATTGTACTAACCTCGTACTATACATGAGTAACGAGTCTTCAGCTATTCTCGGGCTAGAGAATTTCATTTTTAAAATTTCTCTATATGACGAGATATGTAATATTCCCTGAATCCGCAGACTCTTGTACGTTGAGCCCAAACCCCCTCTCTACAAGAATCTTTACGATCACGATTCGATTCAGAAGTAAGCAATTCTCCCCAATTCGGAGGCATAGAAGTTGTTAATAGCCACTTCTTATATTATACATGCGCAGAAGCTACTCATGCTGCTAGCAAATACTGTACAACCAAGTCGACGCTATAATAATTACTAGATACTTTTGGTATCTTACACTTACCCTTATATATACCTGTCGAAGAGGTCACGGTCTTAACGGCAAGTTTTTGGCACTGATCCGAGTAGCAGTTTTTTGTTAGATATGTTTTGATTTGAGACAGAATGCTTGAATACACAAAGAAACCAGTTTCGAATTTACCGAAGTCCCCAAAGTGTAGCAACCGTAATGAGTTGATTTACATTTTCAATAGCAACCCTCAAAAGACAGAATATAGACAAGGTAAAGGTCAAATGTGAGGAGCTTGGTTATCGTGAGTACTTCCTCCTAATCATTATTGTATTTGTATTGAGAATACTTCGGCTTGTAAGAAATACCTCGACGATGGGATACGCTTGCATGTCAATCTGCGCCCAGGCTGCTGGTTGGATGTTTCGATCTTGGTGCCATTAGGTTAGCTTTTTCACAAGAACTGGTAATGGCCTACATACTAGAAACCCACATGTTTACTTGGCTTCAAATGGGAAGTTTGGCACTTCTACGAGGCTGCGAAGGCCGCTGAGATCCACTTCCAATCTGTTGACTGTCTCCTACTGAAGCTGATCAGCAGCGGCATGTAAGAAGTCTCGTAAGATTACCATATCGTTGCCGCCGCTGGGATCCAGTTCCTGGAGGTGCATCCAAGGCTACCTGTTGTTAGCCGGTTGAATCTTTTATTTTCAAAATCCACACCAATCTGCCCTGCTCGATGGTTTATATGCATCTTGTAAGGACATCGTTACAAGGAAGGGATGATAGGCAAGGCAGAATAAACGTGATTTACGAGACACGAGATTAAAGTTCTAGGGCTACAGAAACCATCTGATTATTAGGCTTCAAACAGTATTAATAATCTAGATAGGACAGAAGAGTGGTAATAGGCTGGTGGTTATTGTGACGGTACGGAGGGATAAGTGAAAAGGGGTTCGCTCGCTTAGTGAATAAGTGCGGGGTATTAGGAGTGGTCTAGACTCTCGTCGAGTATAAATAGCTAGCCTTTTGATCTCTTATCTCCTTGCGATCATTCTTAACCTTATTCTAGAAAAGTCCTTGTGCGCTCCTCGTTATACCCTGACAGTTGCTAGCGCCTTCTGTTTTATGTTTCGTAAAAGTGGCCTACTTTCCCACTGCATTACACCCACGTAGAGATGTTCGAAAATGAATGAAGGGTCATAATCCAAAATAAAAATGAATTCGAGTATAAAGCCACCTGGATACTCTAACTCTCTAACACTTTCTTCAGATTTCTCTTCTCCATTTACAGCTCAAAAAGGTTTCGTCCAGAGCGCCCATTCGAATTTGCGTAGGGGGGTGCTGATTTGAGGGCTGCTAATAGCTCCTTAATCACTCTCAACCTATCCTTCACCTCGCTATTCTCTGCGGCTGCTTTTCTCTCGCTTCCCTGTCCATTAGACTCATTCTTGGCTGCATCTCCATTCCAGTATCCCGGACCTTTAAAGTCGGCTGCTAGAGCTTTGTTCAAATGTTCATAGGCCGGCTTTCTTCCACCCAATCCACTCGATTGGTGGATAGCACCTCCACCCCTTGCAGCCTAGGCCCCTCTTCCTCTTGCCCCTCTTCCTGCATTTCGAGCAGAAGTGCATAGTAGTGCAAGACGTGATTTGGGACGACATGGATCCCAGAAAGGAGCTGGAAGAGTGAATAACCTTTGAACTCGCATTGCCATGGTTCTACCTCACAAATTACTATCCCTCAACTTCGTACTAAACTTTAAACCTTTTCTCTCGTAGCACATGGGTTCTGCTCGATGCAGGATGTTGCAAGACATTTAATATTCAATCACTTTCTACTAGCGTGGCACTACTGTAGTAGCACTAACTTCAACACTAGGTATTTAATGCCCACCTGTACCCTACTTTTATAATTGAAGAGTTCTCCCCTTTCTATGGAACAGTACAGGGTCCCGATGACAGCCATAATTATAGCAATCCCGACAAAGGCAAGGAAGATCTCACGACGGTTGTGAAACACAAGACGATTGCAGATGGGAAGTTGAGGGAGGAAGTTGTGTTTAGAGCCTCACTTGTGCTAGAGCCTGACGACAACGAAGAGTCATGGAGTAGGCGGGGTAGACCTGTGCTGTAATCGTCAAAGTAGATTCACTCATCGATACCACTAATATTTGATCGATCACTTCCGGTTACCACAACTCGGCATGTTGGACTCACTGGACTTGTCATTGATGAAAAACGAGCAACAAGTACACAGCTTCTATTATATCAACTTATACAGTACATTCCAGCAAAAAAGAAAGAAAGAAGAAAGGAAAAAGGAAAAAGAAAGAAAAAAAGAAATCAAGATTCGACTGGTTCCACCAACGTCTTACAGAGAATCTTTTCACCTTCTTACAAATTCGTATACATCCGACATTAAACTTCCTACAAAACGAACATTGGATACCTTCTGGCGCTGCGTTGGACTTAACATAATTCTTTCCCTTCCTGCACAATGCCCAGAGCCTGTTTCCAGGACTTGAATCTGTTGGCTTCGGTGGTGCATGACACGGCTGCTGGAAATATTGTCTGAAGGTATGAACTGGCCAAGATTCCCATCAGTTGGCTTCGAGAATTGGATGAGCGTGGAATATTGAAGATGCAATTGCTCGTGGAACTCTTCGGTGAACTTTGATCTCTTGGCAATAGGAGAACTGCCTGGTCCATCAGACTTTCGCTTCTCCTAAATGTTGGAGTGTGGCTCGTTGTCTTTTGAAATGGGTGGAAGCGGCGGTCTTGAGGTTAAGACTTTGAAAGCCTGTCCTTGAGTTGACGACGATGGAGCCGCTTGGTTGGGTTGCGACATGGTGTATCCATGAGATGAGCTTTGATAATGGCTATCACCCGTCTAGCAATCCGTATCTGCTAGGCCGTATCCGCGTCCAATTCTTCAACCTGTTTCTTTTCCTCACCTTGGATTCTTCCAGGTCCTTGAAAACAGCTTGATAAGACGCCAGGTCTTCATGAATGGCGAATTCTCTGGTCGGGTCTGCCTTTACATCGGTCGAGGTTTATGTATTGACAGCAGGGTGCGTATGAACCTTCGCAAACTTCAAGGAAAGTTTCGAAAACTGCATCAAAATTAGAATCACTATGAGATAAGAAAGTGTTTACTAACCTGCTTCGTGGATTGGGCCAAGCTCTTCTCTGAGTGGTTGAACCTTTTGGTCGACTCTGTCGACTTTTGCAGGCTTGTGTTGCTTTCTCGGAGCTGGTTCTCTTATGCCTCAACTTTTCGACGATGCATCTCTTCGGTATCGGCCGCGGGCTATGAAGGAGTCAATAGCAGGCTTTGGTAAGAACGGCGCATTGATATACCTTGGTGGCCTCTCGCAACTGCTGTAAGCGTTCCTCAAACTCCCCCTTGATTCGTTCATACCAATTATATGATCGTCTGAGGAATTCGTTATGGGCAACAAAAATTCTCTTGTGATCATGCGTTAACTCGTACAACGAATGAACGATCTCTTTGGAACCTAGCAGCCCTTCCACCTTTGTTGCTTCCAACAATTCCCTTGATTCTGTAGAAAACTTCCTCTGCCATGCGAGTTGCTCGTCGAAATGTTGATTTACATCATCCAGTCGACTTTTGGCCTCGTTCAATGTGTTGTGCGTTCTTCTGGCTGTTGAGAGGGCATCCTCTGAAGACAATGTATTCGGCGATGGCTGTTTCGACGCTGCCAAGCGTAGCGATGGACCTTGGGCTCCGTTCAATGGCAGACGTGCTCGCGAGTTTATTTGTGACTGAGAGATGGACTGGTGGGCACTTGGTCGCTGCCAGTTGCGAAGTTCATATTTTCAGGCCGGGATTGTTCGAAAGTGGAGTTTTCGGGCCCAGAACAAGGGCTTTGGGGGTGAATGATCAGTCTATGAAGGCGAAGATGTGATCGAGGCCGGAGGCGATGAAGGTGGGGGTGTTGAAGATGAGGTGAAGGTGAAGGTGAAGGTGAAGGTGAAGGTGAAGGTGAGAATTGTTCATATCAAGAGAGATTTCTCTTGACATGGGATAGTGTATTAGTGTATAGGTAGGTGTGCTTGAGTCGGAAAAATTAATAAACTGGGAAGGAGCGACAGAGCACAAGACTTACGGGACCAATGCCTCCTGGATCTAGGTAGGTAACTACTCATGGAACGAATTTTGGAGTAGGAAGAAAGTAATGCAGGTAGAATTGGAAGGAGCGACACACAAAAGCGCGCCCCCAGGACCATTGCCTTGCAGCAAAAGACTCTCCGCTGACTGTATTTGAAAGACATTATGAGGCGACTATTGATCAGAAATCCATGGATATTAATAACAGGATGCTTGATCCAGAATTCCCGTCTCTAATACTATGTTGCTTAGTAAGTATGAGTTTGTATCTTTCCAATTATAGGCAGTCTGCAACTGTCACCTGCGACGTTTCAATGACAAACATACTAGGTCGACGTTGCAATTTGCGCAAGCGCCCAGGTCGATTCAACCCTTTTACTCTGCCTCGGCTCCCCTCTCGTATTTCGAAAAACAATCAAGAACCTATCGTTCTTAGCGATGGTAAAGAGATGGCGGTTGAAAGTCAGTCTGCTTTTACTTAAGCGATAAGAGTAAGTGGGGATTAAACAAAAAGGAGCTTAGCTAATACGAGTAGGCAATCGGTCTTACGGAATAACAAATCAGGAGAATTTAATCTACATTAGACAAGGGTAATGTAGACATTTTAATGAGAAGAATCGAAGACTTCTCTACCGTTACCTAGGAGCAGTTCACAAGTGAAAGACCCTAAGAACGCAGCTTATCCTGATATACTGTCGAGGCCCCTTTCTCGCTAGGACAGATTAAAAGTTATCGGCAACTGTTGAAACACAACTTTCACACTAACCAACGAAATATATCGGAACCTTAGCTCGATTAATAGATGATATACGAAAGCTACCCCCAAGTTTAGATATGTCGCAACAAGCAATTAAAATCTACTTTACCGGGGACACACCTATTATAATACTATAAAGCTAGTAAGAGGCCTCTAAATCTCGGTTAATATAGAAAGGGTGGTCCGAAGAGGTAGTTAAGGAAGTCAATGTATTAATCTCGAACATTCAGGATATATATAGATAGGGATGTAATATAGTCCTACGGTTTATAGACCGTGCTAATTAGGGCGCCATTGAATTCGGCTTTACTCCCACCGAAGCACGGAATGCTATAAGGCATGAACTAGAAGAATTCGTGGAGATGCCGAAGAACCTCCAACAGCTATTGAAAAGCATGGCCGAGTATGAGGAGATGGACCCCCAGGTCGGGACAACTTTAACACCATCTAGTAAAGCAAATTTGATCCAGAATGGTTAGAACTAGTTATGCGTGTGTATTTAGCAAGCAAGCTTTGTTACCTTTTCCTACTGCTGGTCATGAGGAAGTTCGCCCTAAATACATATAAGTCGTCTACTATTAACTCTACTACTTGTCAAGTAGAATCTAGCTTCGATTCCTTGTCAATATTAGCTAATGCTTTGACCATACTCTAAAGGCGTTGATATTAGGAATATATCTTTAATACCGTGACTTAGTAAGTGTTATGCCCCATATATTAGACCTTCCTATTCTCTTATTAGGCCGTAAGGTACTAAGAGCCCTATTCACTAGGCAAGCTTTACTCTATATATACTATTTAGAAAATTGTTATTCTAAACCTCTAGTATAATTAAAATAATTGTCTTAATAGACCTAGAGGTTTAGAAAGTACCTATGTAAGTCTAATAATTATTTTAAATCGTTAAAATAACTATTTTAGTTATACTAGGCTTTTAGACTAATATTATTTAAAGAGAGGTATATAGAGAGTAATAACTTCTATTGTTCTTAATTATCTAGGGGGTATTTTACTCGCTTATAGAAAGACAGTATTATCATTACTAGTGCAAAGCAACGCCTAGAATATGGAGAACCAAGCTACTAGGGAATCATTCCTAACCAATAGTGGGCGATTTTCCCTTTGTTTAAAAGCATAGTGGTCTATTGCCTTGATTTGAATTCAGAAGTGTTCAATATCATTCTATACAAATTCATTCCTTCTCCCACCCTCGACCCCGTCTTAACTTCCAATTCCTTCATAACCCCAACAATCCCTGGCTAAAATCTTCACCAAGCCACCCATTCCTATCCCATGAACCAGTTCCGAAATCATCCCAACCTCATCAAAGCTGCCAAATCGAAAACCCCGTCACCCTCGCCTACCACCGAATGATGCTCTCAGTGAGATGCAAGGTGGTTCTACCAAGTGTTTGATCGAGGTCACTCAGTCATTCATGCGTCCAAACTTCAGCGATTGACGTTTCTCTGAGGTGATCGTTCAAGTGTCGAATAGATTAACAACGGGTATATATGGCGCCCAAGCACTAGGAGAAGCTTAAACCCGGCTTTGTAAAAGTACTGTGATTCCATCCCAGATTCGCAACTCTTGAATTCTTCCAATCCCGCCGCTTTCTCGGTCTCGCGGCATCAATAATGGTATTGTTGTGGTACTTGTACCTCCAGAAAACCGCTTGTGAAAAAACCGTCCCATCGATGTCGCTGAGCACAAACTTAGACCAGAAGAAATCTCCATACGAAATTTGAGCCTTCATCGCTTCGACCAGCCATTCTCCTTCATGTCACCGGGTGTCTTGAACCATAGATCCTGAGCGGTACCGTCGCTGCCAAGTCCTGGCTTCGGTCTTGGGGATATTGCCTTTTCCTTAGGGTTCTCTCTGAACATGTATGCAAATTTGTCATCCATATCTGGAGGCATTGGAGGCCTGAACTTGGGGTTGGTCGGGCTGTCTGGTGCGTATGTTTGTCCCTTCTCTAGCTTCGCCACCTTCCTCAGGGCGTCGAATTCTTTCTTATGAGATGCCATCGTGGTCCCCATCATTGCGCTGCCTATGGCAGCCCCGACTATCGTTAACGCGAGGGATTTTTTTTGTGGTTGTAGATGGGGAGTCTCGTCATTTTTTTGTGGAAGAGGAAATACAAAAGCCGATGACAAAAGAACGGCCACAGCGAAAGCTTTAGAAGGCAACATTGTGAATAAGATTATTGAGGAGAAAAGTGGAAAAAAGAAAAAAGAAGAAAAGAACGAGTGTGGGTGATGAACGGTCGAGTTAGGAAAAAAAAACCCCCTTAGTGAACTGGATGAGGCCTCTATCTTATACAACGCGGGATATGAAGCACGGAGTATGGGACAAAAGCTTACATTTAAGTCAGAGTGTTCGAAGGCATCCACGGTCGCAAACAGGTACTGTTCCGTAAAAACCGGTCCATTCTTGAAAGTCAGAGTCGCCAAGGGTTAAGATCTATTGGCGAGCGGCTATTCCGAGCACCCAAAGTCGTGAGGGCCGCCAGGGATGGAGTGGAGTCGGAGTGTCGATGAGACTTCAATATGGAGCTTATGGGTCAATAGTGGAGCAGAAGCCGCGATTCTTTGGCATCTTTGCTAACTTATTCAGATCTGCTACACGCTACGTGTAGATCTCTGATCCAGGCGACTTAAGAACGGATCGACTCTCATGGCAGAGTAGTCGAGCACGGTCATTAACACCCGCTGACGGGAACGCTCATGAATAGACCCCTATTTCATGAAGGAGGCTTAGTACCTCTACCTCCCTAGGTGGGGGATTGTGGGGGAGGAGCCTCTTTTTTTACTTCGTACATGCACCTTCAAGGACGAAAGTGGATGCTCTGGGATATCGAGTCTTGGGTCTGCAGCTGTGAGCCTTCCCAATTAAACACAAAAAGTGCTAATCAAATAGCCTCTGTTTCCTCCATGGACCTCAATGGCTAATGTGAGTAACAGTTGGTTCCCTTCCACTCGATACTGCGCTCTCTGTGCTAGACAGTGGTAGCAAATATCGCATCTTCTCGCTAGGAAAATAAGGTCGCTAGGAAAATAAGGTCGCAACACGTTTAAATAGGTACTGCATAACCAAAAATTGCGTATACGGAGTAGCTCCACCAGAAATTTCGAAAGAAAGATTGTTCAAACTTTCATAAGCTTATCTTATTTAACATTTGATACCCTGCGGGGAATGCCCCTGTTGTTATACTACAGCAGAAGGTGGTGTTACTGTAAGTTTACTTACCAGTACGGAGTATTGGAATCCCCTGGCAAACCTCCCCGATCGGGAAGCCACCAAGTGAAAATGGAAACCAAGGCGTGGGTGGAGTCAAAGATTTACATTGAGCCGCTTTCCTTCCTTCTCAATCTTCCTTAATAGGCCTAATAATGGAACCCACATGACTTGAAAAGTGTATTTTTGCCATGGTAGTTCCCCATACATGAAATTAACGCGAGATCTACTTTCGCAACTCCCAACAACTGTATTTTATGGTAACTGATTACGTAAGAAACGTGCTCGTAACTCTCACATGCCTAGCTTATAACAATATTTTTCTAAAATTCTCGAACAACTAAATTAGTTATTTGATGAATTTGAGTTGATGTTTATTTTTGCTTTTCATTAATCTAGGTATACTAAGAAAATTATATCACTTGTGCTGGAAGTTTAGTAAATTTATTTTTTACGGTACATCATCTTCTCCTGTTCGCCCTCTCAAAATCCAAGCAAAATTACCCTTCTTCTACTTTCACCACTTAGATACCTTTCATCTTCAAGTCAACGGTGTAATGTATCCTCTCTATACACGTCCGGATAAGATGAATACTATATACATAAACTAAGCTTACCACTGAATATAATAACCGGAATAGCGGTCCACACCTGAGAGGGTCTACTTCGAAGTAGAAAGCGACGTCCTTGGAGGAGTAAAGGCCTCCGCATTTACAACAATCTCCTTGTGGTATTATTTCCTTTGGCCAAGTAGTTGCCTTTCTAGGAATGTGAGCATTAATTCGGTCCCGCTTCAAGTGCACGTTTTTCGGTTGGCAGTTCAAGCGTACCTACGCCGGCACGTTTTTCGGAACCTCTTGGACCTGAAACAATCTGGTTTCCTATATTCACCATAGAAAATCCGTGCCTCGGAACAGAGAGAATTGGCTTTTATATTGAGATTGGGTCCGAAAGGGTAACGCATATATTGTATGTGAGTACTAAGGTACTACTGTTAACTTACCAGTACCAAGTACAGTGCACGTCATAGCTAAAAATCGAAGAGAAACATTTTTTGGCACCTTGCGAAAGCGAGTACGTCGACCTCGTACCCTGCTTACTGTACAGTAAGAACGACCTCATCCGAACTTCCACCGATCAAACACTTTTGACACACCGAGGAAAGCTTGTGCAGTGCCCTACTTACCCACGTACTGGACTTCCGGGAAGTGACATAATTACGTTCGGATCATCGGATATCGGGTAATCAAAGCCTAAATGCTACAACTTACATAATATGTGATAGAAAACATATTGTATGTAAAATCCTGCCTCAGTAGCCCATACGGTATTACTTCGTACTTCGAGGTATCTCCATTATGTTGAAAGTTTCATCTTGTACTTCGTAGGCGATGTGACCAAGAAAATACCCCTTCTTTTACGTAAGGGAGTAACACTCCTCTCAGAAAAAGGTTCAATCCCACGTGTCTACCTTGCTTGAAGTGTAGGTACTAAAAATATCGACGGCTTCTCTCCGCAAGTTTCAGATTTTAGAAGCAATGAGAACCGACCACGTACTTCGTATGACCTAAACACCCTGATCTCAGGGATTCGCCCGACCTAATCAATGATCATTGTCTTTATCCCTGCCCCGGCTGGCACGCGACTCTCTAAAGGAAAAGTTGGGATTCTTCGTAGACTTAAGCGAGGAGAATTGATCAAGAAACTTATCCAGATCTTTTATACTAAGGGATTTATGTTATATTTCTAGCTATGCCTGGTACGTATGAAGAGAAAGGAGATAGCTTTCTAACTACTCTAGAAGTCGCACAATTCTTCCAAGTACCTTTGAAGTTGCTAATAGCTTCAGTTTCTTATTATAACTCCCGCCTTTTTGCGCCCTCGACTTGAGCATCCTAGAGCTTAGGAGAAAAAGCAGCGTTGATATCTGGTGTTTAACAATATCTCTAAGACGAGTTCATCTTCTCAATTATACAGAAATAGGGCAAGATGAGGTGGCTCCAGGAACGGAAGTCGGTTTACAGGGTGAAAGAAAGTACGTCGCGCTAATCCCCAACATCAGGGTATTTAACTCGTACCAAGTAGAAGTATAAACATGAAAAACACGTAAGGTAGATAGGTACTGGGCTCTCCTTGTATTGCGCTTTCAGACTCAACGGAGACTACCTTCAGGAAAAATATTCAAGGGAACGAAACGTTATACGTTAATTAATGCATGAATTGTAATTATATACTATTTTGAATACAAATGTTCCAACCGCTGCCCACTTTTGTACCGACAAACTGCACATCTTTGTACCGACAAAGGAACTTCCTTCTTCTTCTTGATACCTCGAAAACTTTACACTACACCATGCAATTTCCATCCGCTTACACCATTCTCCTGACCCTCATCTCCACCCATGTGGCGTCTGTATCGGCACAAAACAACCCTAACGACTATGACACCATATTCTGCGAGGACCACGGCTCATATATTCCAGCATTTAACAACGGGGTGAAGGTTTCACAACAGTCATGTCCTGGTAAAAAGAATGTTTTCACCGTTCGTCTTCCTTTCTTATTTCCACCCCTTATCTTGGTTGGGTTCTATCTTCAAACGATATAATTCAGAGGAATAACAAGTACTAATATAACGCAGTGCATGTCGTCGCCATTCAAAGGGAATGATCAATACCATATCGGCCGTCAGGGCTGTGAGATAATTCGTGATGACGAAGGGTATCAAATTCCACCTGTGCCTCTTAAGGGTGACTATCCTGTAAGTTGCCTTTTCTTCTTATCTTCTTTGCCTTTTTGGGTGGCTTGGAAGGCGGGCTAGAAGCGTTTCTAATTATACTCCAGGGGAAAATACATTGTTGTGATTAAGCTTGCTTTCTCGTTACTAAATGGAGAGGTGTGACTACTGCGGATTACAAGGATTGGCTAGGGAGAAACCGGATTCTGAGAGCTAAAAGGGTCTCTTCAAACATTGTTTGGCAACATTTCAAATACTGTGGCGACTAGTTTAAGACCGGGGTGTTTGATGGAGCGTTTTATGGTAGTAGAGGAATGTTAATGTTGGCAAAAAGAACCACTTGGTGAGCATCATGGGCAGGTCGGTTTGTAAAGAATGGAGTTTGGGGAAACTTCTGTGGGTAGGGAGATGTTGGTGTTAGTAACTTGTATTATCAATTTAGTCAGGTCGTCACATTGGATTACTAGATTCGATCTCACCATGTGGTTTCGCGCCACTTCGTTTCAAATCGTTGGTCTGCAAGTAGTTCTGATTCTGCTCTTTGTGCTATTTTTAATGCTCTGCACGAGTAGCCTAACCACAATAACAAATGTATCTGATCCATTGGACTTGCCAACCATACCAACCTGTGATTGGCCAGACCCCCAATCGCCACTGGCATCATTCAAAACACGTATATTCCGAACCATTGAGGCTCTAACAAAATGACAGTTTGCGCAATTTTGAAGGAGGAAGATCCGACTTGTGAGATTGGACCAATAAGCATTAAGGAATAGAAACTTAAATGTTTGTCTAATGTAACAGAAACCACGGCTATAGGCAGCTCTGGGGTTCCTTGGATCAAGGAGAAGAGATAATAGATGGAATTTTATCAGCGCTCGGCAAATGGAACCTATTCTATGGAATTCTAGGTGGAATAGAATGGAATATTCCTTCTAGAGCACCTCTAAAATAGAATGGAATATTCTATTAAAAAGGCTCTGGAATTCTATGGAAAATAGGATTCTAGAGGTTATTATTCTAACTAATCGATGAAGAGTATTTGAGAGGCATAAATGCTAATTAGGCCCTGTTTACATAGGTAGCATTTTAGAACTTTATACCTAGTCTAAGTAAAGGGTCTGGAGCTCCACCCTCCCAGCCCTCACACCCCCCTCTTGTTACTTTCTAATATATTCCCACTCCATCTAAATCGGACAATCCAATTGGCTTAGAATGCTATATTACAGAGTTATACCCTGCCTATAATAAGTCGTATACAGGGGAGGGGTTAGCCTCATACGTACGGTCAGAATCTAGGCTTTCTATTAGTTAACGGGGCGGAAGTACCTCTATCCGGGTCATGTGATTCGGTTCCATGGAATCCCAGTGGAATAGGGGGTATAAAATGGAATATTCCAGACCTTCTTATAAATGGAATGGAATATTCTAGAGGGGGGGTATAGAATGGAATGGAATTCTAGTTGCCGAGCGCTGTATTTCATCGCGATTAATTGCTTAGAGTTTGGATGATATCAATTGCCACTTTTCGGAGAGATAAGAAGCTTGTTGTGGTTGGAATGATAGAGTACATTAGTTGAGTTAATTTTTATTGAAGTATTTTATTTTTGTACCTAGGTAAAGTTCTCTTGTGTTCGGGCCTTCGGAACGGATGTAATTGTTACAAAAATGGCAGCAGTGCTATCTGAGCTTCAAGTATATTTCTAGAAACAAATACAAGCCATCATCCTATCGTTGTTCTCTCTGAATCGCCCCGCCGTCTCACTCGTACTTATGAACACCTGAGAATGGCTCGGGCAACGATCAGCACATGAAACTATATTCCATGGAATTATTCCATTCCACCGATTAGTCTCAGGAATTCCATTTGTAGTGAATATTTTTAGCTAGATTTAAGTGAATGGCCGCATCTAGGTAGGTTATAAGAGACACTCACGTGACATTTCTAGGATATTCTACACCCCCATATGTATTATTAACACCCTCTGTCTAATTATAAAGGCGCTATTAAGATGATATACGACTAAATAGGAGCTTCCTATTGGCCTACCCGACCTCCATGTGACAGTTTTTGATTTAGTGAATAGGGTTCGCTTAGCGAAGTTGCGGGTGTACCCTTCCGTAGATAGACAAATACCTAAGGAGTGCGAAGAGCGTCTCTCTTCCCTCCTTGCGAACAATCTATTCCTTGATCCCCACCATAACACTCCAGGGCTAGGATAAAATTTCCGAGTCATGTGACAAACTCCATCCGGAAATTCCATATATTCCATAGAATATATGCCTCTAGAATGGAATAATTCCAGCAATATCTTGAATGGAATTGAATCCTTCCAGTGGAGAGCTCTGGAATCGAATGGAATTCTAGTTGCCGAATACTAGGCTCGGGTGTAAGCCTCCTCCTATACATTTAAATTTTCCGCGAGGTGTAAGACCTCATTTATGGGCACGCTACTAACCAATATTGTATACACTATGTATACGACTGGCCTCGAATAGTCAGCCAGAAGCAAAATAACACCTTGATTGAACCTGCGCGAACTCCTGCTATAAACGAAGAGGAATCCTGTGAAGACCATGTCCCAAACGTTCATGTCCTCCTCAGCGAACCCCCTAGCCAGAAATTTTGATTCGTCACTCTACAGAATTGGCATTAAACACAGTCCCTGCTTAGGCTGTGAGTGAAACTATTTATGCTAGTAATACAGCTTCTTTGACTGCATACACACTTGTACCTCTTGTATTAATTCGATGTTTACTTTTTGTAATATAGCGAAAGCTCTAGAGTTTCCTAATAGTCAGTTGCGCTACATTCAAGTATAAAATGCTTACTCCATTACAAATTCATATTACAGTAAATCACGCAGTAATAAACTTCCGCTACTTAGTAAGTATGCATGTTCTCGTGCAAGTCATAGTAGTAGCGTAAGTGACACATCATGGCCATAAATAAATCTCGATACAATACATTACAGTTAAGAGAGGCGGGCATTACTCTGTACAGTATACCCATGAGTTATAAAAATATTATCCTAAAGACTTTATACAACTAAATCAATTATACGGATAGTTTAGAATAATTGATACTTTTCACTCCTTATTAACCTAGGTAAAATAGGGTAATTAATTAAGTTGTACTAGACTTTTGGCATAATAACTTTTGATAGCGTGTACGGAGTAATGACCAGGTTTCTTACTTTTTAACTTAATTTCTGAATAGTTAGGAACCTTTTTATCAATCAACATTAGGGGTTCACTATCCCTTCTTGAGCCTAGTATCTAGAGTAATATAACATAGTACGAATAACACGAGAATCTCGTACCATCCATTAAACGAGAAGGAAAGGGGTGAGGTTGATTTATAGTACCAGCTCCTACTAAAATGACACCTGTGACCTGCGAAGCCGCTTAGCACTAATATTAAGCCGGCATCTACTTTCCTACCCAGTAGAGAAAATAAACGGCGGTTTTTTGATCCATGTACTGTATCTTCACCGTTATTTCACTAAATTCCTACTTATTTAAATAACCACTTGCATGGGAGGGTGACGAGTTTTTGGTAAAACGCGCGGTCAAAAAACTGTCGCTTATTTGGTTCAAGTGTTGTGTGTCTCCTTCCTGAAATGTCCTTGGTATTGTCAATCAACACCGCGTGTACACCAAGAAATCAAGCTGCTATGATACTTTCTGAAATTGCCTTAAAGGGAATGTTTAGTCTCAAGTGGAGAATTGACAATGTTTTTGATATTAATAGTTTGACAGTCATCATGACCAAATAACAAAAGGTTACATTGATTAGCCACGCTTGACTCCTGATATCACGCTTTAGATTGTGAATTGTTGCAGGAAGCTTTTCGATCATATTCATCATAAATTAATACAAAAAGATAAAGTACAAATATCCAACACAAGCACACTGAAACCCCCAGTCCCAAGACATTATAGTAATAATACAAAAAACCAAATTTCCCCTTTTTACACCCTTAATCAAGTTCAGCCCTCGATGCTAAATTTCTGCCCAGCATCCCCCGTACAAGCACCCGAATCCAACTTCCTTCCACTAGGCGCCAAACAAACAGCCCCGTTCCCACTCTGCGGCTGCAGCAGGATCTCGTCTCCCCCATCGAACGCAAAAAGCTGACTCCCAGTCGTCCCCCCCTCCCCATCTGCTCTCCCACCACAAGAAAACAAAATGACCGTATCCCCCTTCGCCCTTCGATCATCAAAATTTAAACACCCATTCGTCAAACTACTAACCACCAACGTCGAATTCGCAGCGTTATTATGTAGTCCCTTGGCAATGAGATCAAATTTTTGGCCGGGAGCCCCGGTGCAGGCAGAGAGGGTTACGGGAATGAGGTTTTGGCGGAAGTCACCGGCTAAGGGGTCGATGGTTAGACATTCGCCGGTTGAGGATTTTAGAGATGAGGATGTGAAGGCTAGGGTTGCGGTTGTGTCTTTTTTGTTGGCTTCTGCTGCTGCTGAGGGTTGGAGGATACCGCCTGCGCGAGAGACGGGGACGGCGGTTGTTGGGTTGCCGCCTGTCAGAGGTGCTTGAGTGATTGCTGAGTTAGGGGCTGCAACAGAGGAAGCAACAACCGACGACGCAGCAGGTTTCGCTGTGTTGACCTTTGCTGGTACTGGTGCTGGTGTTGGGGAGGATGAGGCTCCATCTTCGAACGTGAAGGTTTGGGACGCATCCCCAGCTTTGCATGGTGCTTGGTCTAGGACATTTCCAGCAGTCGCTGCGAAGCATGTTCCGAGAGCATTTTGAGGCTCAAAGGATACAGGCCCAGCTCCTCCAGCAAAAGCAAATTGCTGGGAATTGGTGATAGCACCACCTACTCACATTAGGAAGGATCATGAATGTAAGTAGTGATACGACTTACCTCCATCAGCTCTACCACCACAAGAGAACATGATAACCGTGTTTCCTGCAGCTCGACGTGGATCGAAGTTCATACATGCTTGAGTCTTGACATGATCAGCATGCGGAGATTTGAGAAACCACCACTCCAACATACCAGAGTATTGACGACGAGGATGGTGCCAGCTTTGTCATTATGCTTTCCGGCCGTGATGATGTCCCATTGCTGTCCTGTACTTCCGTCACATTCAGCAACTTTGATGGGTGTCAAATTTGCTCGAAAGTCTCCGGATAACTGGTCAACTGCGAGACATTGTCCAGTAGAAGTCTAACAATTAGCTACTTATCTCACAATGACAACTCAACCATAACATACTTTGATTGCTGTTGAAGAAAATGCACGTGTGGCTGCAGCATCTCTTTGCTGTGCTTCTTCGAATGCAGCTTGATTGAGAGAAGCGACGACTCGTGGCTGAATGGGCGACGCTAAAGTGAGAGCTAAGGCACTAAGAAAAAAGACTTGTAAAGCAGTCATCTTGTCAAAACTCTCTTAGAATGAATGCAATAAAATGAAGCTATAAAATGAATGTAACTGCCCAGCAGAGAATGTCCAGCAGCCGAAGATAAACACAAGCGAAAGGAACGGAATTATCAAGAGCAGAATGAACAAGACTGTCAATTCTCTTACAAAAATACCCCCAAAAGTGGAAATCAAGGTAAATATAAAAGCCCAACCATCGTACAACACACCACGGCAGCCTCTCAAATTAAGCGGCACAGGAAAGGGGGATTCGGGAGGTTTCCAATAGTTTCAAAGCGCGCGCTGAATCTGTCAAACATTTTGGACCGTGCGGAACTGATCTCCAATGTAAAGATCATGTTCATCCGATTTGACGGGGTTGAAACTCGACTCGTCTGGTGTTCAGATTGCCGCCAGGGGGTTTCGTCTCATCCCTGCATTGTCCTGTCGGTTCGCGCCGAGGATACCTAGTGGTTGCACCGTAATTGGTTTGGAGGTAGCCAATCAAAGAACTTCGGTTGCTTTTTTTGAAGGATGCACTTTGTTACGAGTGTCGAAACGGTTGAGGTAGTGATATTTGAGACTGAATATTTCTTGTGTAATATCGGATGTGTAGGAGCTATGAATGAATAATAACACGGGTAATTTCCGTGAGGTGATTTGGGCTGGTATAAGGTGATCGCATTTACAGTCAATAACCAAGCACTCACGACAATGACACATGCTGGATTGTCATGTACGCACGTGAAATGTCATGCACCTAACTTTTCGAAAAGTCCTCAAGATCAATACAGTCGCATACAAATAACCCTTTTTACTCGGCTCCTCACACCCATTAATCCGGACGATCAGTCTTGCTCTCTCTCGGAACCCCAAATGCATGAAGTTCGATCCCGCACGTCCTTATTATTTGCGTCCCTTTCGTCAAGTCGATAGAGGAAATCCTGAACACCCACAACCAATCAGTACGAACGTAATCAATATGCATCGCAATAACGTCGAGCACCTTACTCTCCTTTTTTCCCTAACCCTAAACTAGACTTTCGAGCCATACTTTAAGTTATCTCTTTCTTTTCCATGCTTTGGTTTCAGAATTTGAGCGTGAAGTCCAGGTTCAAGAAGGGGAATATCTTCAGGTTTATGGCGTCTATTTAACGTGACAGCACGTGCTAGAAAATGGTACCTAGTAGGTCGGTATAAGAACAGAAAATTAAACCCAATACGTCTTTTCAATAAATTCAGGATGATCAAAAGGGTGCTGCTAGTTAACTAGCCCCTGAGAAACTCCTAGTACTTGGCACTCGGTTGTTCAGATAAGCGAGGGGGTAAAGTCCTGTAACGGCGATGCCCAGTCCCTACTCTTGATTATGGTATTAGCGATCGGTAAGTGTGTGTAAAAAAAACGAAATTGAAAAGGCTGGATATGCAGGTGAAAAAGTTGATGAGAGAATAGTCTGAACTCAACGCTGTGAGAACTCTTGCTTCCTCGCTTGGGTAGAAGGTATCCTATAGATATCGCCATTTCAATTAGGTCCCATGGCTTGAGTATTAGAATCACCGCCGAGGAGATAGCAATCGGATTTGTTTAAAAGCTGAGGTTGGTATACATACAGCAGACTAGTTGAGTCAATACAAGCAGTCTCTTGCTCCTCTCATACTACTCTTCATCCACCATCCATTCCCTAATGATTTCATCTTGTTCCTCGCTAAGTAGTGAGTTAGCCCAGATTTCACAGTACATTTTTCATCGATAGCCAAGATCGCTACTCGGAAGCGTTAGGGTAATACACACCCAATCTTGCATGAGTTCAGGTTCCATATCGAAGACGGTTATGTTTGTCTTCAAAGATCTGAGTGGGATAAGTTCAGAATTGACAATTGTAAAGGAGAATAGGAGAGGGTCAAGTGAGAGAGGTCTCAAGAACTTCACTCTCCTTCTTGATCTTCACCAGAATGCTTAATTGAGCTTGAATGAGTGAATGTTAGAGCTCGTATAAAGTAGGTAGGTGAATGTATTTTCATGATACCTACCACGTGCGTACCTACCTATCCAGTCTCCCTGGGCAGTGAACATAAATCAAGGTTTGGCGCTAACCTTGTGTCTGTGGGGTACGGGTGCTCAGACCAGCGTTCCTGCCAGGGACATCTACAGGGATGTGGATGCCAACATCCGGTAATTTCCCCATGTCCATGCCCACGCCCAGCTTTCAGGGACTGCAATCTGATCTCTGTCGCAATCGCAATCGAGATGCCCCTCAACATCGACATCGACAACGACAACCTCTCGTAAAACTCCACGATTGCCATGCTCATGCCCATCCCCGATCTGAGCCAACATGGAACGCAAACCCGTACCCGTACCAAATTCAGGTGCGCCTGCAATGGCCACTGGCACCTCGCCAGCACAAGCACAATCACGAGCACCGGTGCCAGCACCAACACCAACACCAATTGCTCCTGAGGTTCTAGAATGGGAGCAACCATCGACGACCAAGAAGGGGGGATTGTTCAGCAAGTTCAGCAAGTTTAGCCTCTTCGGTGTTTCGGCTCCGACAAAATCAACGGACGCCTCAATCGAAGAGGGAACAGTCCAGCCTTTGTCAGAAGAGAAGCAAGTTTCCCAATCAACCGCCGCTCCTGCTAGATTATTTGGGCACAGTCGGAAGAAGGTGCTGACAATTGGAGGCGTCGCATTACTTCTCCTCATACTAATCTTGGGACTGGGCCTTGGCCTTGGATTGAAGAAGAAATCGTGAGTCCGAGTCCTGCACCTTACGACTTATCCTTCAATGGCAGATTGAGTGCGGTCTGAGTGGAGAACACGATGCTGACTAGTTCCCAGAGAAAAATACCAAAACCTCCCTCTCCCTGGAAGTTCATCAATCCAAACCGGCGACCTCACATACTACAGTCCTGGACCAGGATACGGCGCATGCGGTTTCGAAAATACCTCGCACGACAGTATCTGCGCCGTGAGCCATATCGTTTGGGATGCCGTTTCGACGTCGTCGAACCCAAATCATAACCCGCTTTGTGGGAAGATGCTTCGCATCACGAGGTTTAATGAAGCCTTGGGACGGAATAGTAGCGTGGACGTCAAGGTCGTTGATAGATGTACCGGATGCGAACCAAATGATATTGATTTGAGTCTGGATATGTTTACTACCTTGGCTGATGAGAGCCATGGGAGAGTTTTGGGGAGTTGGGCTTGGTTGGACTGAGTTGTGGGAACGATTAAGCGTTGGATAATTGGATAATGTTTATACAAGCGGCCACAGGCTGGGGGGTATGAGGATGATTTTCTCACACTTCACATAAGCCTTTTGGGTGGGGGTCTATGTGACTCAAGTGGAAGAGGCTGAGGAACTTAGTAGAGTTCGTTCTTGTTCTTTGGAGGAGTATAATCGCGAAAGATACCCAATATAGTAATACAAAACCATTTTTCATATTCATATTTGTCACGTGTGAGGTGAATAAGGTGAGTGTTAGTGGCAGATATTTTGACCACAAGCTTATAATTGTTCTTGCTATTGCTATCCCTTTATTCAAAAGGTTAGCTACTAAGATCCATGAAGCGAGGGGAGCACAGTTACATAATGAGCTCCCAAGCTCTCGCTTTACGGAAGACCTACCTACCTATTCAGGAATACAATAGCGTTACGAGTATTCTTCCGCAGCCTTTTATAGAGCCCCGACTCTAGCAATAACATACGAATAACAACCAGGGTATTTGTCACGAATTGCCTTCTTGATGTGAAAGTCCATTAGCTGAAATTGTCCTTATTCTAAATATCTGATTACACCTGTGTTGAAGTCATTAATCGTATCTCGCTTAGCGAATCCTGTCTGGAACCTTTCAAGGAGTTAAGTCCTAACCTAGCGTTTTCATCTCTCCCTTCGTGCTAGAGTTAGGCTAAAGGTAAGATAGAAATCACGGCCCTATTTCTAGATTGTGATAGTACTAAAACTTAACTACCTAGCGTAATATAATTATACTATAAGTATATAAAAACAGCCAAGCCTTACCACCAACCCTATCTCTTACCCGGATTCCTTAAACCATTTACACCAACCAGAAACTCACCTTATGAAAGCTCAGATCCCTCTCTATCATCAGTCTACAAATATCAGGTTGTGTAGCGCAGATTGGAGTTGTAGGGAAGGATGCGTGGTGCGACTATTAAGAGGATATAGTTATAGGTTATAAGGAGGAGTTTAAGTGAGAGATTAGGGAAGTTCCTTGGGCTGCACTTAGTAGTGGTAGGGGTTTGTATTAACAGTGGTTAGATTTACATTAGCGAAGTAAAGGAGTAGAATATAATAGAGCTTATGGGTGCGCTATGGTTGGAGGGTTGGGATAGGTGTCTTAAGATTGTGTGTGAGTATGGATTAGTGTTATGTTAATGTGGTTAGGAAAGAGGTGAGGAGTAAGTATGTGTTTTACTTTGTAGGTATTTGTTTATATAATAGATAGATAGCGATAGTTAGTAGTTAGGGGGCTTTGTCTCTATAAGTCTATGTTAATGGTTATATTCCCTATTACCAAGTATTATAAGATTGAATAATAGATGTCGAGGCTTTAAGCGTTAGTAGTGAATTCAAGATATCCGTTCTTAGGATTTTTTCGCTAAGAATCCCCATATATCTAAAAACAAATAGGTAATTAAAGAAATCCTAGTAAGATACTTAGTCGTTACTCTAAATATACTATAGAAAATATCATTAGACTAAGCTTCTAGTATAAGTAAGATAATTATAATAGTATACCTAGGCTAATAAAACGTAACGGGTAATAATTATTAGCAGGTATACAGATATAATTAAAAGTATTTTGGTTATACGATACATTTGAAATAATTTTATTCTAGGAGATGTATATAGAGAGTAATAACTACGGACTAACTGGGACTCTCTAAGGCCCGCTCTTTCCTTCCTTACTATACCCTTTTCCGACAAGCCTTGATTTTTTGGGCGAGATACTTGTGGAGGAATGGTGTGTTGTAGCAGACAGCCCCGTACAGCCCTTTGTCGTCCCCAATACCTGGAGATACCAAGATATCCTTAGCCCGGTTGTCCCTTGTACCCAGGATGACAATGTTCCAGACATGATGTATCCCCGACATCATCTCACGACACTCTTCATCTCGAAATTGTCTGCAGCAGCCCGGAGTCGCCTTTCCGAAAAATGGCGCCTCCAAGAGACGTCAGTCCGCGCCATCACTCACAATGAAGGATATCCCGTTGCGCAACTCTTGCGAACACTTTATCGACCAACCAGCAGCCCTACCACTCACACTCCCCAAATACCACACCCGGCCATTGCAGGTGATGGGACTGGAGATGAAAGAGTTGCAGCCCCTCGAGTTAATAGAATTGAATGGTTGCAACAAAAGGGTTTTGACGATCGGGTGCAGGGGTTGATTTCTCTTGCTAAAGAACTTGGGGTCGTGCTGCCCGACACTGATAGACTGAGCAGCCGAGAGAAGGGGGTGGTTATGGAATTGGCTTTGGTAAAGGATTATTACAAGTAGAGATGGTGTGTCATACAGCAGCCCGGTGGATGGATGAGATGAAAAAAGGAAAAGATCACAAAGAATACAATGATTTGAAAATAAGATATCTTTCTATGCTCTACTTTGCTCCATATACAACTCTGCTTTTGATTTTCCCGACCTCTTTCCAACTAACACACGATCATAGAACTTGTACCTCTACCTTACCTAGTATAATTAATTGGTTATTAGCATATGGGAATTACCTCAAGTCCGATATCTATATTTGTAAAGTAGAAGCTTGTAATCTTCTACTTAAGAATCGTAGTTAGAAGTTACTTAAGGTAGGGTTAATAAATGTAATTTAGGGGCTACGGGAGGGGGCCCTTTCTTAGAGCCTAATACGCCATATAATATTTGGTTAGATCATTAGGGTCTATATAATTTAAGTAAAACCAAGGGGGTTTACCTTAATGCATGTAGAATACCGGGATAGCGTCCTATCTAGACCCTATAAGTACAATGGCTTTTAGGGAATATTAATAAATACCCTCTAAAAGTTGTAGGAGTAGGGGTATTCTTAGGCGCCTAATAAATTATCGGTAGTTAATTAAACTATCCCCTAGTTAATTAAAAAGTTCTTAAATACCCCTTATATAATTAGAAAATTAATAGAACTACCCTTTAATTTATATCCTCTAAAAGAGAAGTAGTTTTATTAGTTCCGTATAAAAAGTAGGGTATTTCTATTAGTAATTCTATAAAAAGGGGTATATCTATTAGTAAATAGTTATTCTAGGATTTTATTTCTTTATTAGTTTCTATATATAAATATACTAGTAAATTAATAAATAAAGTAAATTATTTACTATAACCTATTTCCTATTCTATAGTCTACTTCTAGTAGATTTTAGTAGAGGTTAAGTTTAGTACTCCTTACCCTTACGCTTATTATTATTAGCTGTTCCTTATCCCTAAGCAACATCCTCGAGTCCTTGTTACTAAGTAGTTTGTCGTCGCGCGAGCTGTTTTCTAATATTTCGAACAGGTTCTAGAGGATAATTACGAAGCTTCGCGCGTAGCTAGTGTGCTAGTATACTAGTGGTAGTAGTGCTAGTAGTGTAGTGGATGTAGATGTTGTGGTGATGGTAATAGTGGTAGTAGAGTTGAAGGGCGAAGGGTGAAGGACGAGAGACTCTCGGAGGATACAAAAGGAGAAGGAGTAAAAGGAGAAGGAATAGAACAAATATGCTTAGGATCTCGAAGGATTTTCAGGAACGAGGATACACACATATATACCCTATGTCGCTCGCTTATAACATTTTATTTATTTAAGGACGGATATATTATATTGCTTTAGAACCAGTAGAAATATAAAAAAAGGGATACCGGGGAAGGTTATGCTCATTAAGAGCCTCCCATCTTAGACAAGGATCTAGATTTTGGATTTGGACTTTACACTTGGATTTGCATTTGGATATTAGCATGTACTTACAAAGAGCCACCAATTTGGGTTTCGATGTAATAGTACACCGATTTGGATTTGGATTTGGACTTGTTATTATACTTCCTTGATTCTTAGATGAGTACTTATTAAGTGTCTTATCTATAGATGGATTATATATTACGAAATATATATAAATCTTAAAAGATTTACATAGGTCCTTAAATTCATAGAAAACGTATAAAGTTTATACTTTATACTCTAATATATACGTGTACTAGAGCTAATCCGAAAGCTACAAGGAGGTAGGGGTATTTCTTAGATAGTAACCGGTTAAGTATTTAGGGCTTTATCTTTTGAGACTATTTACGCCTAGATATTGGATCTTACCTCTATTTCTAACCCCTCTTCCTCCTTAGTATAACCTTTTTTTCGCCCGCTCGAATATTTATAATTTCTTCTACTAATACCTTCTTAGACCTAATTAGATTATCGGGGCTAATATAATTTAAATAAAACTAAAAGGGTCTATCTTAATTCTAGTGAAAAATCGGGAGGGTGCCCTATTTAAGCCCTATGGAGAAAATAATCTATAGGGAGTACTAATGAATACCCTCTGAATGTTATAGGGAGTGGGGATACTTAAAGTGCCCAATTGAATATGGGTGTCCGTACTATAAAGTTGGGATATATATGTCCTCGTTCCTGAAAGTCCTTCAAGATCCTAAGCATATTTGTCGTGTTCCTTCTTCCTTCTTCATTTGCTGCATGGGTTCCTTGTCTCTTTGCCTACGCTATACGATAGTGTGTATCACGGTATACGCTACCCAACTAAGATCTTTCAAGCCTTTTCCAAGCTCTTTCTTCATAGCAGGTGGAGCTATTAGTTCGTCTAGGCTTGAGCGAGCGTTTCCGTACGTGATTTGAGAAACAAGAATTCGCGTAGAGACATCGAGCTCTTTTGCAATTCCGAGGTTACGTGGGAGTACTAATTTCAATCGGAATGCTATAAGAATGACTTTTAGGTCAGCCAGAGGTGTGTGGCTGCGCATGGTGCGAAGTGAGCGCGGAGCTAAGCGAAATAAAAAGGGGGGTGTTTTTGAGGTATCTGCTAGCTTGCGGGGGAACTTGAGACTGTTCGCAAGTGTAGAAATCATTTTGACAGAATTAGCTTGACAAAGAGATCGGTCTAAAACAGGAGGGTGCTGAGAATTAGAATCGGTTTTTGGCAAAGGAGGACAGCTAGCGCTCCCTTGAAAGTAGTTGATGTGTTGCAACATGCATCCACGTAAGAAACCGAGACAGGAGTAAATAGCTAGTATTACAGTAGTAACATGCTTCTGGATTAGCATATGGACTATTGAATATCTAGGACTAAGCTAGATACTCTACATCTCCTGAATACACTCTTCATTCTACCTACTCTACGGACCACTTTACATTCTCTACACGGGTCAGGCAACAGAGACGGGAGTGCAGGAGTCTCAGCTAAGACCGTGTCGTAACACCTCTACTAAGTTTCTAAAACCCATTTGTATCTCCATGTCCTACTATAGTACTACACTCTCTCATCTCGAAATAACACAAATCCAGCATCCATCCACTTCACACCCCCTCACCCACATCTTCAACATCCAACCTCCCCAAATTCACCGCCGCATTCTCCATCTCCTCATCCAAATCCATCTCATCCCCACCCCCTGCCATCCCCTCACTCCTTTCAATCTCCCCCAACGCCTGCGTAATAACACCCAACAACTCCCTCGCACTCGGCCTCTTATTATAATCCATCGCCAAGCACTTCAGCACGATGCGACGGAGCTGATACGAGTACGGCGCTTCCAGCAACAACGGTCCTTGTGTCATCACCCAGGATTGCGCGTCCTCGGTGTCGAGCTGCGTCCACATGTATTGATAGGGAAGCGGCACGTTGAAGTACGCTTGGGGAATGCATTCGCGCGCTCGCGTTATGAGGTGGTGCATGATTTTTCCGATGCCCCTGAGAGGGTTAGTTTTGTTTTTTTTTGGAATGGGGATGAGGGAGGGGGGGAAGGGGGGATACCAGATGTTTATTCCGGTGCCGAGGTATTGTTTTATACCAAAGTCTGCGACGTAAGAGCTTTCATATTGTTCCTATACAATTTATTTAGCCACCAGTCTTGGTCTTGTGATTGCGCTCTCAAGACGGATGAGAAAGCGGAGCTGGAAATTGGAAGTGTAGTACTTACAGGTGGTAGAGCAATTATCGTTCCAATTCTTTGCATTAGTCGATATTGACTTATCGACATAGGGGGTCTCGAAATGATTTGAATAAGTCCTAGATCGCCAATCTAGCAATGTTTGAGTTAGCTACCATGACTCTTACTGGACGCTTCGCAATTTTGATCTCTAAAGGAAAAAGAGGATTACTCACCACAAGCAACGGTGTCTCTGTATGCTCATCATCGGTCGTTTTGATAAAAACTATTCAACAAGAAAAAGGTTGTATCAGCTCTCTATCTCCCAATCCGTATATTGGGGGGCATGTTTTGTGAATATTAAAGACGGGATAAGTAGGGATGGAGTCAAACACACCATTCTCATTCTTCATATCAAAATGAACACAATTAAGATCCTCACCAAAAACCGGGTCCCCCGACAAATCTTCGTCTCCGTTCTCAAGCATAGCACAACCTTGAGCCAAGCACAGAAACAATTTCCTAGAATGAGAAAAGATGCTTATGTTAGCCAAGGTCCTTCTTCTTCCAAAAAAAAAGAAAAGAATGCTTTATGAAAGGGGGAAAATGGGAAGTGAAGTAGCGGGTAACTAACCAGATTATCTTTTCGGGAATCGGGTTTTCGGCCGTGTATTGTCTAAGGGAGTTGTTAGTCTGAGTCTGGAGAAAGTGATGTTGGATGGGAGAAGGGATACGCACTTGTAGAGTCGACGCGAATAATCGTCCATATCCCCTGCGTCGCAGTAATCTAGGAATACTCTCTAGACTTTCTGTCCCAGGGGATCTAAACCCGGTGCGTCCTCATCGCTTCTGTTGGAATAATATTAGCCATTTCATCTCATTCATCTCAAGACCCTCTAGTGAAAACCAAACAAATAACCAAACCACCCCTCTCCACCAAAGTAAAGAATCCACAATCGCATGCAGTAACACATGGGATAGAAAAGGAAAAGTCCAAAGAAAGAAAAAAAAGACTCACTCATAAGACCCCTGCCCCACCTCATCCTTCGAATTCCCATACATCTGAATAATATGTTTCATCTTCCCCCCAAAGGCACCCATAGCCTGACACTCATTCTCAAAATCCTGCATGCGTCCCGGCTTCTGCGGCTTAACAACCACCCTCTTCACACCCCTCGGAATCTGAAATTCCCCCTCATCCCCCTCCTCCCACCAATCCGCCCTCTCCCACAACCGCACCACCC